ACAGACTACTCGGTTCTGGGCACAGGCATCTCCAGGAATGAGTAGTAGGGAAGGAATTATTTAGACAACGTAGAAAGGGGCAGGACAGCGGCAACCAGCCAAGGTATCAGAGAAAACTGTGCCACGAGTAATCACTGACAATCTGTAACAGGAACTCTACACACACCATATGCTTCCAAAAATTGCCAAACTTGCATGAGATACAGAAGTTATTTCTTCCCAGTCTATTAGCAGAGATTGTACAAAAGGAAAATTTCTAACCTAAGAGAAGAGTTTCAGCAGTGCTGGTTTTCAAGGAGCGGAAACTAGAGTAGCCCAGGAGTAACTGTGGGGTAGCTTCAAGAGGTACAATGCCACAAAGTCCAGAAGGTTGGTCCGTATTACTCTGTAATAATAAGAGTAGAGTAGAGCATTATTAGGAGGTGTTTGTAAGCAACCTTTAAAAAGACAGTTCATTTTCACGTTTGTTCTGGAGAAAATCATCAGTCATGGACTATGCTATGTGAATTCAATATGAAGCCCAGGCTACCTTGTTTTTTCAATCTTGTACTTTAATATAACCTGAGAATTGGGGATATTAGGCATGAACTCTTTACTGTTCAGATAGTTATTTCCAGAGTATTATTAGGCAAAGGTATATTTTGACCCTTCTTCTGACTCAAAGCCAGGCATAGGTTGTCATAGAAAATATAAAACTAAATATTTTCTTGTACACTGAAGATATGGTTTTAGTGTCTATGGGTAAGTTCTGAAACCAAAATTATTGTTTGAGGTAGATATTATCATAATACTTAATAAGTGATAGGTCTATATTTCAAAGTAATTTATATAGTTTCATAAGGATAATTTTTGTGCCTAAATCATCCTGGGGGTTATATTGGTTTAAACTGACTTTTATGAATGCATTGTTGAATTGTTTACTATTGCCAGAATAAGCCTGAAAACCTTGCTTTGCATTTTTCTCAGGATCAAATGACCACAATCATTCTATACTTGCTCCACTTGTGAGCTTCGATTTTTTTTTTGTTTGCCCATGTGTGAAAATGAACCCAGGCTGTTTCCGAGGAAAACCTTTAGCCTGCCTATAGTGCTACAGCATTCTCTCAGCCCACTTCTGTGTATGTCTATTCTGACTTGTGTCTTGGTCTTACTCACGAATTTCCCTAAGATACTCTTAATTTTATGTTCCAATTGTATTTGTTTGGGGCCTCCATACTCTACACCTCAGGGAGAAAGCCTGTACTGAACTACCTGCCTCTGCACTGAACTGTCTGTTTGCACTTTGTTTCTGCCATTTGAGCCAGTCCATATAAAGGAATTCCTGAAATTCTATTTCAGCCAAAGGGACTGAGGTTTTCACCATCCAATCAGAGCTACACAGCTATATTCCCATCAATTATCTTCACCAACCAATCAGAGCAGCTGATTTCTGATCAAGCAGGACAGTGGCTTTTGTACAAATCATACTGTGAGGATTTGGAGGCCTCATCTGCATGGGACTAACCTATCAGGGATCAGGGTCAGGGACTTCTGTCTATTTAAGCCAGCATCTCTTCAGTGAGAGAACACTTTCCTAGCCCACAGAAGACTGAAGACTGTGTTCTCCTGGCTGAGCTGAAACACCAAGGTGTCTTGCTGATGCAGAGCAGAGCAGACCAGTACAGGTCAGAGTAAACCGGCACAGAATGGGGCTGCCCAGAGCAAAGAAGACCAGACCAGTGCAGCACCATGCAGACTAGCACAGAGCAAAAAGACCAGCAAGGAGCAGAGCAGAGCTATCTAGTCAGAGAGGGGCCTGGCCCCAGGGCCACCTGGCCACAGGGCTGCCTCAGAGCTGTGCTATTTTCATGGCAATGCTGTTATCACAATTGAGCTATTCCATAGCCATGCATTTTTCATAGCTGTGCTATATCACAATTGAGCTGTTTTGTACTGAATAAAGTTTCCTTCTTCACTGTACCCCAAACTGGGGATTTCTGTTAGTGTTGAAATGGCACCAACAACCATTGGTTGACAGAGTCAAGACTTGTATACTGTCAAACCATTGGGAGATAGAAATAAGCCATGGGTATAATGCCAAATAAACACTATAGAAATCAGTAAATGTTGCATATGAAGGCTATTTCCCCCCACTGGAGAGCATATCACTGACTGGATTTCTACCATACACAAAAGTGAGATTAAAAACATAAGTGTGAAGGGCAAAACTTTAAAACTTAGAAGAAAAATACACAGAGAAAAAAAATCTTTAAAATCTCGTTACTAGGTGGCCATTCTCAACAACAAAGTCGAGTAACTAAGGGCCAAGTTTTCTAAATTTGAGTACGTTATAATAAATTTTAAAATTATCCTGAGGTTTTAAAGGACACCACAAAAAAAAAGAGAAAGTCCAGACTGAGAGATGGTAACTACTAAACACAATAGAATTTGTATCCAAAATACATGAAAGCCACCTACTAATCCATAAAGAATAGATAGATAACCAAACTGGGAAATGGGAAAAAGTCTTGAAAAGGCACTTTATACATAAGAGGATGTCTTGGTCAATAAACAAAAGTTCTCAACCTTACTACAATAGTTATGAGGGAAATGCAAATTAGTAGTATAGTGAGACATTTTACTTCTTTCATGTTTTCTAAATTAAAGCATCACAGATTCAAATGCTAGCATAGGTATGGAACACTTCTCCTACTGCCAGAGAAAAGGGTACATTGGTAAAACCACTCTGAAGAGCAATTTGCAACAGTGAGTAGATTGAAGACATTGTAGCACAGGTTGTTAATTGGTCCCTAATATTCATTCACTATAACCTTCTCTTGGGGGAGCAGCAATGCAATCAGGAGCAATTCTATTTGATGTTTTATTTCTTGAGGACAGTGGAAAGTTCAGGGTTATGACATTATTCTCTTTATCTTTTTGTAGGTCAAAATATTTCAAAATTTAAAGATGTTTGCAGCTTATTGGATGATACACACTCCACTTTCTGACCTGTTGCATTTAAATGCCTATTAGGCATCCAGATGAAACCCTTTACTGAGAAAAAAATGTGAACCTGGCACCCTTTCTTGAAACTCTCTACTACATACACTCATTCTTTCTTATATTTGGTAGATCCTCTCCAGATCTCCCATAGTTTTGATTCCCCAAAATGTCTTCCCACAGCTTGTGATGAAACAAACTTGGTTAGATTAGAAGCTATGATCTTTATAGTGAATATATTACTACTATTGTCTTTATACAATATTGATTTCATATAAATAGTATAGGTCTGCCTAAGGAAAAGACACAACCCTAGGATCAGAAATCACTGCTGAATAGATCTCTTGATGAGCAATGAAGATTAAATGCTCTCTGGACATCATTGCTAAAAGTATCAAGGAGTCCAGAAAACAAGCTTCCATGTTGTGTCACAATATGTTATTATTCCCAAGAATGTAGACCAGGAAATGTTAGGTAATCTGGAGAAGCTATCTGAGGAGTTGAAGCAGCCCTTTGGTATATACACTCTGTCCATTCTGGCTTGGCAAGGCACAAAAGCTACTTAATCTTGGTAGGAAAATAAGGAAGGAGACTAGCTTGTATTGATTGCCTATAATATGCTACACATGGTGCTACGATTTAAAAGACTACATGCAATTATTTAGTCCTCACAACTCCTTAGGGCTGATATACTATTAATGAGGATATTAAGATTCTGAGGAATCAACTATCTTACTGAAGATATTTTTATAACTTACACTGATAGTAGAATTTAAAATGCAGAAATTGGTAGGAGTGTGTGGAGATGACATTAACAACCAAAGAGAGAAGGTAAAAACTAAGTCAATAGCTTCTCCCCACCGTAATTCTTCAGCGTTATTTATTTATGTTTTTGGTTCCATAGTAAGGCCTCTTGAACTCTGTATTTCTCTTTGGTTACCTTCTTCAATTCTATGTCTTCAATTTTAACTGCAATGTAAAATTACTTTAAATTTTGTATTTCATTGATTTTTTCTTTTCTTCTTTTTTAAGCTTGCATTTTCAAGTGCTAAAGGATATTTCAGAGATGTCAAGTTCAATAGGTCCAAACTAAACCCATTATCTTTTATCTAATCCCATTCCTTCCTTTTTGTTACCTTTCAGAAAATGGCACAGATCCTCACTTTCACCCATTCAATTTGTATAGGTTTTATAAGACACTTTCTTATTATTAGTTATGACAACGACTATTTCAAGTTTAAGTTATTACTGTGTGTGAAACCCTTCTTCTAGACTATCTTCTGGGAGCAATCATTAAAAAAATAAGAACTAGAACTTCAAATGAAGACAAGTCCCTGGAGGTGTCCATTATCATCTAACACGGGTTCCAAATGTGTCTTCAGTAAAATCAACGTTTGAGTTTTCATAATTAGTATGTCTCCTTGTTTCAGTAATTTAAAATTACTGAATCTGCACACTTCTTTTAACATCTTAAGTTAAAATGCATGTCAACAGCCAACAGAAGTGATACACTCAAATGAACAGAAATATTACAATAAAGCTTGTCCTAGGCAGTGGGCTGCAGGAATAAACTGAGAAAGTAAGTAGGGGGAAAAAGAAGCAAAAGTGGAAAAACGGGAAATAAGTGGAGATAGGAGGGATGAACGTCGAGAAAGAGAAAGCAATTCTTCCAAAGCCATCAGAGGTTTCTCTAACCTAGGAGGGCACAACAGCAACCCCAAACCCAGCTCTATCCTCTATTAATACTCAAATTCAAATAAAAAGTCATCGAAAGTGAGTTTTTTTCACGTTGCGTTCTTAATTTGGCAAACTCTGCATTAGCCAGACATTTTGGACTCCAAGTATTAGAAGATTCTACTCGAAGGAAAATTGCCCTGGGTTTCACGGGCGCGCATGCGCAATCTCAGCGCGTCGCTTTCCCCACTACACCCAATGCAGGCCGCTTTCCCCACTACACCCAATGCAGGCCGCTTTCCCCACTACACCCAAGGCAGGCCGCAGAGGACGTGACGCAAGGCTGGGGGGCGGGGTAAACTCTGCGCCGGAAGTGGCTCGTAGATCGTAAATAACTTGGAAAAGGCAAGAAAGGCACTGTCTCCATTTTGTTGGCGTTGGCTGATTCTGCCACGATTTGGAGATGGGGAGCGTCTTGGGACTGTGCTCCATGGCGAGCTGGGTAAGGTGGATTTTGGCAGCCTTCAGGGTGCTAACGTGGGAGGCGGAAGAGAAAGGGGTTTGATTGAGTTGGGTGAGAACCGACGGGAACGTGGCACCCCACCCAAAAGGGAGTGCCTTCTCTCCCCATTTTCTATTTCCCCTCGTCGCTCCGACTTAAGAGCTGACTCGGTAGCTGCGGGAAGCAGTAGAGATGGGAAGGTGACTCCGACGGGAGAAGTGAAAAAGAGCTGGTAGTCTCCCGCCGCACCCGCCTTTCTTGAAAGCTGCTCCCCATTCTTCTAGGCCCCCTTTTGTTGTGTGTTCGTGTCTGCGTAGGCTATCTCTACAGAAGCCTTAGGCCTTTCTTTCTGTAGAGTACTCCAGCCCTTCTCGTCATCTCTTCCCACGACCTCAGACTGCAGCACTGTCATCCCTGGAGGCCTGTCGGCCTCTTTGTTCTGTCGCTCAGGCTCCAGTTAAGTACCCGTTATTGGGGACAGCCTGACAGTAATATTGCTGTAGTTATATGTAGTAATACCGTTTTGAAATAAGTAGTCCTATTCTGCGACCTCGTATCTGGAAGAGCTGGTCAGTTCTGCAGTAAGTATTTTGTGCCCTTTAAAAAAATATATGTATCTATTTATTTACTTATTTATTTTAGAGAGAAGGGAAGGGAGGGAGACAGAGGACGAGAAACATACATCTGAGAGAGAAACAAACTATTCGTTGCCTTCTGTATGGGCCCCAGGTTACCGAACCTGCAAACCCAGACTTAGGCCCTCATCGGAATCGAACCCGTGACCTTTGGGTTCTGGGAGGATGCCCAACTCAACTGAACCACACCCGCTGGGGCAAAATTTTGTATCTTTTAACATAAAGCATTCTTGTGTAATCTGAAGTTTCATTTTTAATTATGTGTACTTTGCATTTTGATTAGACAGTGTTAGAGTGAAACCATTTTTCATTTTAGTAGCAAGATTTCTTGATTGAGGTGGTACAAATAAACTTTATTTAAAATAACCACATTCTCCCAAATAAAAGTAGGCAAAATATTGACATTACAGTTAATAAAGATAGTTGTAATTTTGGTCGAGATATTGAGATTCAAATCATATTTCTCTAATTTATGAATTCTATATCCCACTTCTAACAATTTCTTGTCTGACTTCCCAAATGACTTCATTATATACTTTAGCCAGCATTTTGATTATTTTATATACTGAGCCTTCCCCCCCAAAAGTTCTTGATATGGCTTGAATTATAAATATTAAGTTTTAATAAAATAATAAGTGGATGTTGTTACTCCTATCAGGTCATTCTCATTAGGGGGCAGGAAAACTTGGTGTCTTTTTATCTAAAGAAACTGGAGAATGTGCTTGTGCCATAGACTGTTTTATGCAAAAGAGGCATATTAATGTAATAAAATGTATTACAAAATAAATGATTATTATAAGATTGTTTTTGCCGGGGAGGGATGTCATGTCATTTGATTCAGAAAGTCAGGTTTTGTCCAGTTACCAAGTGGGCATATTCTTTGTATATAGGAAAGATTTAAAAAGAGGGGTACGTTTCCCACTTCGTTCTCATCTCCAGATCAGTGATGGACAAACTCTTTTACAGTTTGGGGGCAAATTACAGTTAAGGACAATTAACAGTTAGGGACAATTACAGTTAAGAATTTTTTTCTACGGTTGTTTTCAAAATATGTATATGTTTTAAGTCAAAGATAATAAATAGCTGTAGTGAACAATGTGGGGAAAATGATATTCCCATATATGTTTTTAAAATTTAGTTCTCCACCTTTATTGACTACAAAACTGTAATAGAATTGATGTTGCCATTCCAAGGTACACTGGAAAGGTACTACCAAGGCAGTTTTCTTATCTTCTAATAATAGATCTCTTGGCAGATAGCCTAGTTGGCCAAGATTATTCATGGTTCTAGATTTCTGTGGCCAGACTAGGGATTGATTCTATACTATCCAATCCAGATCATCCTTCTCTCCTGCTTTCCTGGTGCCTTTGTCTCTTTATTCCAGAATTGTTCCATTGCAGTGCAGTTCCACAGCAACTGAAGGGGAATTTGCCTTGTAATATGCAAATCCATTTCTTCCACAGTCTTCACAGTCAATATGCTCATTTACTTAAGTTTTGCCAAATTTAAAATTCAAATTTTCAAAAGTATTTACATCATTAAATTGGATCAGTTAAGGCAGAATTAAATAAACCTCATTCTTCCTTGCTCAAGTTCCTTTGGGCTTATCTTTGTAAAAGTATTTCTAATCAAGCAACTGTAGAGAATGTCTAAACTATGGAAAAGTATAATAGAGAAAAATTATGTGTAATACTATGTAGAGATTGGAGTGTTATGTTGCATCTTATTTATTTATGTATGTATTTATTTATTTATTTTTATTGCTGTGAAGGGGCCTAAGAATTAGATAATTCATAATCCTTTGTTCATGTGTGACTCTTTGGTGATCACCTTAAACCCTATCAAACATCTCTGGACCTGCTACATTACCCTGTAACTACATTGCCAGGAGGTTTCCCCACCCCAATCTCAACAAAGTGTTAGTGACAAGAATTGATTTTTTTTGGATGACTACACCTTGTATACAGTAACTATCATTTTTTGTCCAAGACATTTAATGTAGTTAAGTAAATAAGAATGAGCTAGTGGTTACTGACGATTTTGTGCCAGCCTCTGCTAGATTTTTATTTTTTAGTACAATGTCTTGTTTTAAATGATTCATAGTTGCCACAGATAGTCATGCAACGCAGAGTGTACAGTTCAAGTGTCACAAAAAAATCCCACTACCAATAACATTTCTTCTGTTTCAATGCATCTGTACAAATGGATGAATCAATAGACAAAAAATACCTTTTGGGGAATTGTAGCATGCTAAATACATATTTTTTTAAGATTTTATTTATTTATTTTTAGAGAGGAAAGGGATCGGGGGAGATAGAGAAACATCAATGTGCGGTTGCTGGGGGTTATGGCCTGCAACCCAGGCATTTACCCTGGCTGGGAATCGAACCTGTGACACTTTGGTTCGCAGCCCGCGCTCAATCCACTGAGCTACACCAGCCAGGGCTAAATACATATTTTTAAAGATTTTATTTATTTTTAGAGAGCAGAGGGGAGGGAGAAAGAGAAGAGAAACATCTATGTGTGAGAGAGAATGATTGGTTGCCTCTCACACGTGCCCCACCCTGGGACCAGGCCTGCAACCCAGAAATGTGCCCTGACCCAGAATCAAACTGGTGACCTTTCGCTTTCTGGGATGATGCCCACCCAACTGAGCCACATCGGTCAGGGCAACATACATTTTTAAACAAAGCATTAAATTTAATTTCCTGAATTTAACAAACAAAGTAAAGGAATTTCTAAATGGTAAGTAAACATTTCTTCCTTAGGAGAGTTTCTTACAAAGATTTTTTAAGGCATTGTTTTTATAGCAGTGGTTCTCATCTGGCCATGGTTTTACTCCCTTCAGGGACATTTGGAAATGTCTGCATACATTTTTCATTGTCATAGCCTGCGGTAAGCAGTGCTAATATCTAGTGGGTGGTAGAGGCCAGGGATGCTGCCACACTTTTTATGATGCACAGGACAACCCCCAACAACAAATAATTGTCCCACAATGTCAATATTACCAGTTCTGCTTTATCCTCTTCATTTGGCCAGGGGAAAAGTGGGATGAAATCTGGAGTTTTAAATGGCTAAAAAGACATTCAGCCAATCCTCTTATCAGCCTCACGTATGGAGGTATTGATACCTGGTGCCACACCAGTTCCCTTCCTGAAGTACTTGGAGATTCTGCTATAAATTTCATTGCTGCTTAACTTTTCCTTTGATGGCTTATGATGCAGCTTTCTTGTCCTGTTAAGTCAGTTATTATACTCTATCTTTCATATTTAATATCCTGTGCTTTTCACCTTTTAATTTTATTTCTTTTAAAAATCCCCTTTTCATTTTACTGGTGTTTCTAAAGGGAACATGAGTAAACTCATAGAGTCCATTTGCCATCTTTAACTAGAAGCCTTGTATATTATTTTTATATGTGACCACTATGTTTTATAACTATAATTGCCTTAGTTGCATAGTCTTTGAACTAAACTAGTCATTGTTAACATGTGTTCCTAGACCCTGTAGCATCAGCACACTGAGAAACTTACTGGAAACGTTTGACTGGGACTCAGCAGTCTGTTTTAATAAGCCCTCCACTTAAGTGGATTCAAAGCTAAAAGCAAACCTTTTACCACGGTGTCCACCAAAGTTTTAAAAATCTCAATGTCATCTCCTAATTAACCAAATTTTGTTGTCTAATAGATTTTTCAAAAAGGATTCATGGATGCTGAAATCCCTGAGTTCTTTTGTATTTAGAAATGTCTGTTACATTCTTGAGAGATATTTTAGACTGATGTAATGGCACAGTTGACCCCTGAACAAGGGTGGACTGTTAGGGGCACTGACCCCCATGAGGCCAAAAATGTAAGTATGACTTTTGAGTCCCCCAAACTTACCCTTAGTATTTGAAGGGGTTTGATTTCAGGACCCCTTGTAGATACCAAAATCCATGGATGCTCACGTTCCCTGTTTAGGATGATACACATCAATGCATACCCTTCCCATCCTATGGATTGAGAACAGTGTAAGGTATTTATTGGGCGGGGGGGATCGTATAAGTGGGCCTGCAGTGATCAAACCCATGAAGTTCAAGGGTCAACTCTACACTCATTGCCTTCAACTTTGTAGTTATTTGTATGGATTGTGTTCTCTCTTAATACTGCCCTGTATCTAATCCCTGCCAGACATCTCATGTGCATTTGACTGGTTTCTTCTGCCTGGGTGACTGAAGAGGTTTTTTTATCTTTGAAATAATTAACCAAATATATCTGACTTGAAATTATTTATTACTTTTTTCCCCTTCTGGAAAACAGTTTTATTTTTAAAAATTAAATTTTTAAATTTTTAATTTCTTTATCTAAGGAAGTTTTTCTTGTATTATATCTTCACCCTTTTCCTTTGTTTTATTGAGAGGATTCTCTGTTTCAAGGATACCAGTTACCTTTATGTTATATTGTCTTTGTTTTCCTTCCACATTATTACTTCTATATTCGTTTTTGTCATTTCTTAGCTGATTTAATTTACATAAAGTTCATGCTTTGTATTACACAGTTCTGTGAGTTTTGGCAAGTCATGTACTTGTGTAATAATGACAGAATAATTATCTCCTGAAAAAACTCTTCTGTCCCATCTTTGGTAACTCTTGTTTTTTCTTTCTTCAGGGTTCTGCCTTTCCAGAATGTTATATAAATAGAACCATACAATATATCACCCTTTGAGTCTAGCTGCTTTTACTCAGTATAATTTATTTGTGATTCATTCATATTGCTGTACTTTATTTCTTTTTATTATTGGGTATTCTTTTTGTTGCATGGTATTCCACATGGAACATCCATGTGTTGGATGTACCACAGTTTATCCTCTCACTAGTTGAGGGGCATTATTAGATTTTGGTGATAAAATAGCTATAAGAATTCCCATAAAAGTTTTTTGTGTGACTACAAGTTATTTCGCTCAGGTAAATATCTAGCAGTGGAGTTGCTGTCATATATTAAGCAGATGTTCGACTTATAAGAAACCCCCAAACTGGTTTCCAATATGGCTATACTATTTTTCATTCCCACCAGCAAAGTGAGTTCTAGTTGCTCTGCATTCTTGTTAGTACTTAGTGTTATTAGTTTATTTGATGTTAGCTATTCTGATATGTGTATAGTGATAGCTTCCTAATAACTAATGATATTGAGTACCTTTTCGTGTGCTTGTTTGCTCTCCATACTTTTTCTTTTTTAAAATCTCTGTTCAAATGTATGGGCCATTTTTTCTGGTTGTTTTCTTACTAAGTTTTGATAATTCCTTATATGTTATGGATACCAATAAATTTTCAGGTACCTGATTTGCAAATATTATCTTTTAAGTCTGTGGCTTATCTTTTCATTTTCTTAATGCTGTCTTTTAAAGAAAAGTTCTTAATATTGATGAAGCCCAGTATATCAGTTTTCTTTTGTGGGTTACACTTTACATATTGTATATATCTTAAATTAATTTTGACATATGGTTTGCTCTGGCTTAAGGTAATTTTCTGTTTAAAAAATGGATATCCAGCTATTTCAGCACTCTTATGTCAAAAACATTATCCTTTCTACAAAGATTTGCTCTGACACTTATCAAAAATCCCTTTATCATATTTGTGTAAGTTTGTTTCTGAACTCTCTTCTATTTATGAATGTGTCCATTCTTTTCCCAACTAAACCCTGTTTTGAGTAAAAGTAGCTTTAAAATTAGCCTTGAAATCAGAGTAGGGTTATTACAAATTTGTTCTTTTTCAAGATTCTTTGGGCTATTCTAGTTTCTTTGACTTTCTATATAAATTTTAGAAGCTATTGATTTATTTCTACCAAATTCCTTCTGGGATAGTGATAGAAATTGCAGTGAATCTGTAGATCAGTTTGGAAAGAATTGACATGTTAACAGTATTGACTTTTCCAATCAGTGAACCCAGTTTATTGTGCCTTTTATTTAGGGCTTTGATTTTTTTCCATCAGTGCTTTCTAATTTTTATTATTAGGGATCTAGTATATTTCACATATATTCCTTGTCCCCACACATGCATAGCCTCCCTGATTATCAACATTATCCACCAGGATGGTACATTTGTTACAATTAATGAACTTAGATTGACACATCATAATCATCCAAAATTTGTAGTTTACAAAAATTGAACTTTTGACGTTGGGTATTCCGTGGGTTTGAGAAAATATATAATGACACGTATCCACTATTATAAGAGAATACACACTAGATTCACTGCTCCAAAAATCTTCCTTGCCATGCCCATTCATCCCTCTCCCTACTCCCAATCCCTGATCTTTTTACTGCCTTTTCCAGAATGTCGTACAGTCACAGTCATATAGTGTGTAGCCTTTTCAGATAGCATGCCCCCCCCCTTTTTTTAACACTGATTAATATTCCATTATCTGGATGTACATTTCATTTGTCTATTCTACTAAAGGACATCTCAATTACTTTCAAGTTTAGACAGTTATGAATGAAGTTGCTATAAACATAGGTATGGGAGGCTGGTTTAACAATTGAAAGTCAATTTAATTAGTGTAATCCCTCATAACAGCGAGCTTTTAAAAATCACATGATGACATTGGTAGATGCAGAAAACATTTTACAAAATTAAATATGTGTTCATGAGAAAAACTCCCCATAAACTAGGAATAGAGGGAACTTCTTCAACTTGATAAAGGATATCAACAAAACATCTGCAGCTAACATATTTAATGGTGAGAAACTCAAAGCTTTCTCACTGAAGTCAGGTACAAGGCAAGAATGTTTCCTCTCACCACTTCTTTTCAACATTGACCTGGAAGTTTCAGCTAGTGCAGTAAGACAAGAAAAGGAAATAAAAGGTATATAGATTCATAGATGATGATAGTTATCATCTATGTAGAAAGTCCAAAAGAATCAATATAAAAACTCCTGGAACTACTAAGCAGTTAGAGTAAGGTTGCAGAATTCAAGGTTAATACATAAAAGTAAATCACTTTTCTATATACCAGCAATTAAAAAGTGGAACTTGAAATTAAAAACAATACAATTCATGATAGTATGCAGAAGCTGAAATAGATAAGTACAAATCTAGCAAAATATGTACAAGATCTATATGAGGAAAACTATAAAACTGATGAGCAAAGTCTAAAGGGACAGATATTCCATGTTCGTAGATTAGTAGACTATTGTTGAGATGTCGGTTTCTCAAGTATGATCTATAGGTTCAATGCAGTCCCAATCAAAATCCCAGGAAACTACTGTGTGGATATTGAAAAACTGATTCTAAAGTTTATATGGACATACAAAATACTCAGAATAGCCAACTCAATATTGAAGAATAAAGTTGGAGTATTGACACTACCTGATTACAGGAATTAGTAGAATGCCATAGTTATCAAGACAGTGTTATATTGGTAAAAGAATAGATGGATAGATCAGTGGAACAGAATAGAGAGCCCAGAAACAGACCCATGTAAGTATAGTCAACTGATATTTGACAGTTGCAAATTTTACCTTGATGGTTGTGGGTATACTTTTATTTTTAAAAATACTCGGGCTTTGTTCTTAGACATAAGTGAGTTACTTGAAGAGTATTTGATGTATATTTGGTGTTTACCTTAGTGAGACTGGAGTGACCTTTAGTCGTATGGCTGATTTTTTTTTTCCTAGTACTGAATAATACCCTTATAACTCTACTCCTCATGAATTATAAGGATTTTTCATTCTGGCTGGTGGGAATACCAACTCCTCCTACTTACCCGTTTCTCCTCGATAATTTATTCAAATGTATGCACCAATCAGTGCTTTCCTGGACAGGTTGAAGCCTCTGTAGATCTCCAGAGCTTATTTTGTATAGTTTTCTTCTCTCTAGGATTCTACCCAGTGAGGCTACCTTCACTTTCTTGAACTCTCAATTCATATAGACTGCTGGTCTCATCCTGGATGACACTCCCTGTTCTAGAAACTCTCTCCAGGCAGGAATTTGGGCCAGTCATAGAGCTCATATTGTTTCCTCTTAGAAATTACTATCCTGCATTGCCTGTTGTTAATTGTTTGAAAAATGTTTCATTTATTTTTTTTCCCCATTGATTAAGGCAGTAGGGTAAATCTAGTCACTGTTACTCTATCTTGGCCTGAGTTTATGTGCAGTTCTGTTAGAGAAAGTTAGGTAGCTTGTAATCATGACTATTTCATTTCCCCCCACCCCAAAACATTGATTGCTGCTGGTGATTTTACCCCTTTTTTGTTTTAACTGATTTTTATTTACTTTTCTTACAAAAATTTTTATGTTTTGCTTTGCTCCATCTTTGCCCCCAAATTACTAAGGTTTAAAATTTACAGATAATGCAAGTGAGCCAAATACCTTTCACCCCTTGGTAATTACTTTAACATCAGTTCTTTTTCTTTTGTGAATGGGTAGAATGTAAATTTTCACTGTATAATTTTAAACTACTGATCATTAATGTTCTTTACTCAGATACCGTGTTTGTGTGGCAGTGCCCCATGTTTGCTGTGCCGATGCTGTCCGAGTGGAAACAACTCCACTGTAACGAGGCTGATCTATGCTCTTTTCTTGCTTGTTGGAGTGTGTGTAGCTTGTGTAATGTTAATACCAGGAATGGAAGAACAGCTGAATAAGGTTAGTCTTTTTTTTTTTTTTGATTGGTTAACTGAACCTGTAGTGTGTGTATGCATGAAACTGATTTTTGTATACTGGAAACAATAATATACAAGTATGATAATATGTAATCCCAATTTTAGTGTCTCGTCTTTTAGGAAAGACAAACAGTATAAGCTTGTTAAATTCTGTGATTGTGGTACAAAAAATGTGCTATGGTAATAAGAGGAAGTAATTCTAATCAAGTAAATGTCAGTTTTAGTGGGTCTCATGGAAAAAAGGACATTCTAGGAATGAGTAGAACTTTGTATTCAGACATTGAAAAATCAGAAGCCAAATGAGGATGAAAGAGCTTTTTTGAGGAGAGGGTGTATTAGAAAGATTGATCTGTTAATTAGGATAGAAGTCAAGCAGTTACGGGTAGAGGCTGTTGCAGTGATGTAATAAATGTATAGAGGGCCTTAAATAGACTTTGATATTAGAAATGACTGAATCTGGATTTAAATATGGGCAGTGGTAGGATTATAAATAATAACCAGGTTCTGGTCTTAGACAACTGGGAGAAAACTGTTGCTGTAAATCTGAGGCTGGGGGGGCGGTAAGAAAAGGTGTTTTATTTTAAAAACTTTTTCAGGGAGTCAGGTTGAACAAGAGATGAGAAATACAACTTACTAAAGTTTATAATATGTTGACTTGGGGATACTGAACTACATGTGTGTGAGACAGACTCTGTGTGTGCGTGTGCAAGAGAGAATATCTAGCAGGAAGTAGAAAACATGGGTGTGTAACTTTAAAAAGAAAGAGGGTTGGTAGAGAAAAAGGAAACTTCTAAAGAACAGGTGGCAAACACAAGGCCTGAGAGCTGAATCCAGCCTTCTACCTTGTTTTATCCAGGGCACCCGAGCTCTTGCTTAAGTGTTAAGGAGTAGTTACATTTATACAGTCCTAAAATTACATTTGGCCCTTTGAAGGCAACCTCCAGGCTGATGTAGCCCCAGAGAAAATGAGTTTGACACCCCTGTTCTAAAGAAACAGTGAAAAGAGAATCAAGAGAATGTACTGTTATGCAGACCTTAGGAAGAGAGTGTTGGACAATCCGTACATGACTAGTGTCTTGAAAAAGCACCTTTAGAGTGCTGGGGCTAGGAGGAGGGGTGGGGGGGTGGGGGGGTGGGCGGCAATCAGCTGGCCATGAGGAAATGCATCCAGTGGATATAAATAGCTGATCTGAGTTTTAATAAGATGGTGGTCTTAGCAGGAAACTGAATTAAGTAAAGGATTTTTTAGAATGGGGAGATTTAATTTGCATTTTGAGAATAGTCAAAGATAAGTGGTGTCATCTTTGTGTAAGAGAGAGGGAGGAGGAGGTGATTAAGAGAAGGGATGTAGAAGTTAGCTGTCTTCCAAGGCAAGGTGAATGATAATAGAAAATTTGAGGTTTAGAGTATTTGTCAGAGAACCTCTATGTTAAAGCAGAGAGTTGTCAGCTTGGGGTTGGCTTTGGGGTGAAAAGAAATGGTGAAAGTTTGGAAAATTTTATTATTGTGATGCTCAGTTAATGTTGTTGGGTATAAGGAAAAAACATACCAAGAGATTTTGATAGGGTTTTGTCGTAGATCCAGGTGACAATGGTTTTAAGAGTTTAGTTGGTGGATGTTAGTTCTTACCTCCAAATATTTCCACCTCTCTGCTTTCTGAGGGTCATCAAAGATTTGTATTTTCTAGAGTGCTTATAGTATGTTAGGTCATGTTCCTAGTACTGGTCACTGAGTTGCGAGTAGATGTAATACACTTCAGCCTCTACTTGCTGATGCAAGATCTCCTTTCTTTTCTATCACAACCTGTATATCATTTGAGATGGTGGTTTCTCCAGCAGCCTGGATTCCTCAGTTGACTACACAGGACCAATTATGTAAATGTACATGAGCAAGAAATATAGCTTGTGTTTTAAGCTGGTATTTTGTAGTTAATGTACCAGCTTAACCTGACTATTATAGATGGCTGAATTAACTTAATGATGGAAATTTGCCAGGTGTTGGGCTGCCGTAAGGGAGTGGGATAATCAAAGGTGCTAGTGAGTACATGTTGCCAAGTGATTATGGGTAAATACATACTTCCATAAAGTTTAAGCTGGGTCAGAAAGGTAGAATTTACATGAGACCCAGAAAGGGCTTATAGACTCTGTAGAAACTAAAACCAGCAAAAGGAAATAGCGCCTTCTTAGCTTAGTGTAATTTTAGTTCTTAAACATACAAATAGTATATATAGCTCTGAGACCTACTTCCATTTATTTCACTTAAAAATATTTTTGTATTCTGATTCCAATGTGACTTTCTGAAATGATCATCAGTCTTTTTCAAGACTCTAAGTAAAAAAATAAAATCACTCCCAGTGATTATGTAAATCTAGATTTCATTATCAGAAATAACACTTATAGAACTCTGAATTGAAGTAGCATTGGTTTTGAAAAGCTGCCATTGTCCTCATTAGGGTTCAAAACTGACTTAGTTACTCTATAATTCTTTAAACTTTTATTGATTTTATTTTCCTCTTTGCTTATCTAGGTAATTCAGTGTATCACAGTAAAATGCAAATTTTAAAAAATTTAGAATTAGTCTGCAAGTCAAAATAAGTATTTTGTTTAAGATTTGCATTTGTGGTTTTATCATGTGCTCATGCAAAGTAAAAAGAGAATTAAACTTCTATTTATGAAAATGTTCCAGACTTATCTTGATTACATGTTCAGCATAAACTGAGAAGCAAACTTTAATTTTCTAAATCTTAAATTACTTGATTATACAGAATTTTTTACTTTCACTTAAGAAAAATTCTAGTTTACCAACTCTTGTTTTGTTACATTAGATTCCTGGATTTTGTGAGAATGAGAAAGGTGTCGTCCCTTGTAATATCCTGGTTGGCTACAAAGCTGTGTACCGCTTGTGCTTTGGCTTGGCTATGTTCTATCTTCTCCTCTCTCTGTTAATGATCAAAGTGAAGAGCAGCAGTGATCCTAGAGCTGCAGTGCACAATGGGTAAGTGTTTAAATACAGTCATGCTGTTTAATGATGGGGATACGGTCTGAGAAATGCATTGTTACATGACTTTGTCATTGTGCAAACATCATAGAGTGTACTTACACAAACCTAGATGGTATAGCCTGCTGCACAATTAGGCTATGTGATGTAGCCTATTTCTCCTCGGCCACAAACCTGCACAGTATGTTATTGTACTGAGTACTGTAAGCAGTTGCAACACAGTGTTAAGTGTTTGTGTTTGTAAGCATATCTAAACATTGAAACATTACAGTTAAAAGGTGCTCTAAAAGATAAAAAATGGTATACCTGGAGAGGGCACTTAATATTAATGGAGCTTAGCTTACAGAACTGGAAGTTGCTCCAGATGAGTCAGGGAGTGAGTGCTGAGTGGATGTGAAGGCCTGAGACAGCACTGTAGACAGACTTTATAAATACTCTACACTTAGACCACACTGGATATATAAAACAACATGAGATCAAATGAAAAAAACAAGATGGAGATGCAATGAAAAGATGCATGAGATAAATGGGAATGCTGCCAGCATTACACCACATACAATTTTACAGGAAACTTTAAATAAGTAGAGAAGATTAATAACAAGTGTGGTATACTCTGAAACTAATACAATATTGCATGTCAACTTTAGTTGAAAAGTAAATTTTAGAAAGTATGGTAAATACACAAACCACTACCATTTCTTTATCAGCATTATCTAGTTTATATACTGTGTTTGTTTATACCAGCATTACCAAAACATACTACAACACTATGTCAGCTACAGTGTTACTAGCTGATGGGTATTTTTCGGCTCAATTGTGATCTTCTGGGACCACTGTCCTATAGGTGGTTGGTCTGTTGTTGACCAAAATGTTATGTGGTACACGACTGTAAACTTCAGTGTAAAATTCTGGGTAGCCTCTTCTCAGTAATTTAGATCTGTCTAAATAAACATTAAAGGTTATCCAGTTTGTAGAATTATTTGGTTATCCATGGATGATAAGGTAAGAAAGTCTTGTGTATACTCAAGAATGTCAGACCTTGGAAATATAAACGTTAAATATAAGCTGTGGGGCATTTATTGGTATTATCTCTGATACTTAATGTTTTATATTTTCATCCTAAAACAGGGATCTGCCACATCTATGACCAGTAATGAGCTTATTCCTCTTTCTCTTCTTAGCTTTTCATAGACCAGTCTGAGTACATAAAACAGAACTCAGTTTCTTAGACATACAGTTCCGCCAGAATGAAAATACACGGGATAATTACTTTTCTAAATGGTTGGCTGGGCAACCTAGAAGGGTCCCTTTTATTAATCTCTGTTATTATAGAGTACCATTTCTGATACTCTGTTTGAAAATGTTAAATTTTATCTCTCTCCCCCATAAGTTAAAAAAACAAAACAATCTAGTATCTGCTATTTTGTATTTATTAACATATGCTACCAAAGTCAGGAAGAATGAACCAGTGAAATATAAATAGTTATAAAAAATGTGCTGACCAGTTTTTATTTTATTTTGTCCTTGGTCATTGGTTTTACTTTATTTTTTTTAGGACTTTTATAACCATCTTTATTAAATGTTTTTATTTTTTTTTAATCCTCACTTGAGGATATATTTATTGGTTTTAGAGAGAGAAAGAACGTCGATGTGGGAGAAACATTGAATGGTTGCTGCCTGTATACACCCTGCCCGGGGGTCAAACCCACAACCAGGTGTATGGGATGATGCTCCAACCAGCCGAGCCACCCAGCCAGGGCTTGAATGTGTTTCTAAACATCTCTCAAAATGCATTACAGAATGACAGTCTTAACCATTGCTGTTCTTCTCAAAGTATCACACGCACAGCACTCCTACAACTGTCTTTGTTACGTGTGCTTTTTAAAAAAGTGAGATGTAATTTATATATAGCATTGCAGAGGTTGAAGGGGTACAAAGTGCTGATTTTATGTTTATTCGTTGCACTATATTAAACATCATAGTGTTAGCTAACACCTCTATTATCTTGTGTCTTAATTTGTGTGTGTGTGTATATGATGAAGACAATTTTAAGATCCAGTTTTTCAACAGCCTTAAAGTCTAACACAGTGTTGTTGCTTATAATCACTATTCTGTGTGTTAGATCTCCAGAACTCTTACTCACTTGTTACAAGTTTGTACCCTTAAAAAACATCTCCCAATTCCCCCACCTCCCAAACCCTGCTAACTACTATTCTATTCTTTTGTTTACAAGTTTACCTTTTTTAGATTCTATATTAGTGATGTATGGTATATGTCTTTCTCTGTTTGACTTATCTTACTTAGCATAATGCCCTCAAGGGTCCAACCATGTTGTTGCTAACGTTAGGACTTCATTCTTTCTTGTGGCCGTATAATCTGTTGTGTCTATATTACATTCACACATTGACAGTCACTTAGTTCATTTTTATGTCTTCCCTATTGTAAATAATACTGCAGTAAACATGGGAGCACAGATATGTTTCTGATACCCTGTCTTTATTGCCTTTGGATATACACCTAGAGATAGGCCATATGATAGTTCTGTTTTTAAAATTTTGAGGAACTTTCATTCTCTGTGCCATACTGGCTGGTCTAGTGTGCACTCCAACCAACAATGCACCCAGGTTCCCTTTTTATCACACTCTAGCCAACACTTACTATTCTTAATATTTCTTGTCTTGATGATGGCCATTCTAACAGGTGTGAGGTGATATCTTAAAATGGTTTTGATTCCTATTTCCCTGACAATTAGTGATATTGCATATCTTTTCATATATCTGTTGGCTATTTGTATTTCTTCTTTGGAAAAAAGTTTCTGTCCATTCTTTAGTTGAATTTTTTATGTATTGAGTTGTATGAATCCTTTATATATATTCACACCTTATCCAGTATATGGTTTGCAGTTATTTTCTCCTGTTCTGTAGTTTGCCTTTTCACTTTGTTTCTTTTGCTGTGCCAAAGTTTTTGTTTAACATACTCCCACTTGCTTGATTTTAATTTTGTTGCTGTGCTTTTGATGTCTTCTCCAGAGGCTCATTGCCAAAATTAACATCCAGGAGCTTCTTCCCTGTTTTTCTTCTTTTTAGTATCAGTATCTTCCTAGTAATCTTTTACTGTGTTTGGTCTTATGTTTAAGTCTTCACTCATTTCTAGCTAATTTTTGTGAATAATGTAAGATAGGAGTCCAATTTCATTTTTCTGCATATGACTTCCAGTTTTCCCAAGATTGTCTGTTAAAGATCATATATAAGGGTTCTACACTCTCTGTTCTGTTCCATTGGTCGGTGTGTCTGTTTTACACAAGTACCATGTTTTAATTGCTGTAGCTTTGTAGTATAGTTTGGAGTCAGTCAGTTTGATACCTCCAGGTTTGTTCTCCTCCTGATAGCTTTAGCTATTTGGAGTCTTTTGTGGTTTTATAATTATTTTAGGACTTTTTTCTATTTTTGTGAAAAATGCCATTGGAATTTTTACAGGGATTGCATCACATCTAGAGATAACTTTAGATAGTATGGGCATTTTAACAATATTAAGTCTTCAGATCAATGAACACCAGATATCTTTCTAATTTTTTTTGTCTTCAGTTTCTTTCATCATAGCCTTGTGGTTTTTATTGTACAGATCTTTTATTTCCTTGGCTGAATTTATTCCTAAGTATGTTATTTGTTCAGATGCTATTGTGAATTAAGATTATTTTTTAAATTTCCTTTTTCGGATATTTGTTGTTAGTGTATAGAAATTAAACTGATTTCTCTAAGGTGATTTTATATCCTGTATCTTTACTGAATTTGTTGACTAATTCCTACAGTTTCTTGGTTGAGTCTTTAGGATTTTCTGTAGACAAAATCATATCATTTGCAGATAACAACAATTTTACTTTTTTCTTTTCCAGTTTGTCTGCCTTTCATTTCTTTGTTTTACCTAATTGCTATTGCCAGAACTTCTAGTAGTGTATTGAATAAGAGTGGTGAGAGTGGGAACCTTTGTTTTGTTCCTGATTGTGGAGGAAAAGCTTTTGTACTTTCACAATTGAGTTTGATATTAACTGTGGGATTTGTGTACATGGCCTTTATTATGTTGAGATATGTCCCTTTTATACCCAATTTGTTGAATGTTTTCATCATGAAAAGACACTGTATTTTGTGAATTTGCTAATTAATGTTTTGTTGAGAATTTCTGCATCTACATTCATCAAGGAAATTAGTCTATACTTTTCTTGAGGCCAGAGCAGGGTGTGGGGGCTGACCTGGCTGGGCCTTGAGGCTCTGGTGAGTTGGTGGTGGCCTCAGTGACAAGGCTTCCCCTATGTCAGTGCGTTCTGTGGAGCAGAAAGAAGTCTGGGCCCAGACCACTGTGGGGCCTGTGGACCCGCTTGCATAATGCAGGTGGATGCAGCCACAGTGGCCGTGGATGTCCTAGAGGAAGAGTGCTTCACTCTTTCCCTTTCACCTTTGATGCCTCTTCTGACTCTGATGCAGAATTTGGTGGTGTGGTTAGATATTTAGAGGACATTATCATGGATGACAAGTTCCAGTTACTACATAAAAAATTGTATGGAGTAGTGCTGCCAGGAGTCTGAATACAGGAGAGGATCAACTTGTGTACATGCCTATTTTTAACCAATATATTTCTTTGGTAGAAAAGTATATTGAAGAAGAGCTGCTGGAGTGGATTCTTGGATTTAACACGGCAGCTTTCACAACTTTACAGCACCATGAAGATGAAGTGGCTCGTGACATACTCAACATGCTACTTTCATTTACCGATTTCTGGCTTTTAAAGAAATGTTTCTAGACTACAGAGCAGTAAACGAAGGCTGGGAACTAGACTTAAACAGTAGTTTAGTGTTGACTTATTGTGCAAATCATCCTTTTTGCTGCCTTTCTAGAACAATCTTGGGCACTAGGTCCCACCTCCAAGCAATGAGGTGGTTCTGGATAGCAGCAGCCCAGTACATGTATACTGGGCGAGGCTTCAGCTAACGATGAAAGAATACATCTCGGAAAGACTGGCTCTGTGGTGCTTGGCTCTTCATTAATGTTAAGTGTTGATGGATCAAAAAAAAATACCTGACCCTCCTGGGACTTGTTTCTCCAGGAAAACCTTGTGTGTTCAGAAACCCTAATACCCCTCCCTAGACAGACACCTTTCTGAGGCTTTTCATTTGGTTTCCTGGAGCAATCCCACATCCAGCATATTCCACCTGGAGGGCCTTCCCCAGCTACATGTTGGTGCATCAGCACCCACCATCACCAGCCCTGCGTCCCTGCAGGCTTTGCATCAGTCTTTTTGTGTACTCAGAGCTTTTTACATGCATTAAATATTCAGTCCTCAGTGGGATTTTTGACTGTTTATCTGGGTGTTACTCAAACAGATGCCTGTCTTGAGATTTCTGGATCTCCTGTTATCACAGCTAGTCTTGGCTGGTCATCAGCTGCAAAGAGTGTTCTTTACCTAAAAGTTACATTGTGAATATCAGTTCCTAGTCTTACATTTGGAGTCTTTGTATCACTGTCTTCCATTGCTACTGTTGTAGTCCAACTGTATATCTAGAAATATCTTTTAAGCATTTCTGAAAAAATATTTTTATAGATGAATACTCCGGCTACCCTAGTGGATATAACCTTGGAACTCCCGTAATTACCCTTTTAAAGATCCAAGTATTACGGTATGTGCTGTGTGCATTTTAGTTAACAGTGCTGTAAAAGCAAAAATACTGTTTTTATTGTGACACTCCAGTTTTACTGGGCACCAATGAATATGTGCTTATGTGGGAAATAGAATAACTTTTTCCTTACAGCATGTTAAGTGTGCAGGTTTGCTTGCAACCCTTTCTTTATAAATCAGTTCATGACATTTTCTGTTGGGGTAGAGGCTCTGCAAATCATCCTTCTTGTCAAAATCTCCTACCAAGACAGTGTTCCACTGGTCTAGCTCAGCACGAGGAGAGATAAAATAACACAGTTCTACTGGTATCCGTCTGCTTTGATTTAGTACACTGGCTTAAGTAAAAATAACAATCCGTAATGACTTCTCACTTGGCTATTCTAGTTTTAAAGGATGAGCTGTGGACTGTGTGTTTACTGTACTGATAATGGTGCTTATCACTTTGGTACCCTGAGTTAAAAAAAAACAACAAAACTATTTAGTGTTATAGTGTATCTTACATTTCCACTATTATCGCACTCATTATATAAAATAAGCCCTTGAAATGGAACCGATACTCTCAATTTTGTTATGAGTTAAGGACAAAAATATTTCCTTTCAAATTGTTGTAAAACAGTTTACATAATAGTCTTCACTTCTCATTTTCAGAAAATCATCAGAAAAAAATGAAAGTCACATAAGTGTAGGTGTTCTCTGACATGCTTTTAAAAGATTTTATGTATGATACTATTTGTTAAATGAATGTTTATTAATAAAAAAATCACATTTCTTGTTTTAGATTCTGGTTCTTTAAATTTGCTGCAGCAATAGCAATTATTATTGGGGCTTTCTTCATTCCAGAAGGAACTTTTACAACTGGTGAGAAATCTCTTTCTCTCTTTTTTTTTAAATTGTGTGATATTGATTTTTTTTTTTAAAGAAACCAAAAGAATCTCCTTGAACTGTAACATCTGCTTGTTTATTGGTTTGGTTTGTTTTTTTTTTGTTTTCTCCAAGTTGGCAAAATCAAAGAATTTATGTAAAATTTTAGTTTTCCTTGTGTGTATTGTGATTGTGAAAATAAAATAAAAACTGCACCAACCACTCATTTGTATGTTTGTTTTTTTTTCTTTCAGTGTGGTTTTATGTAGGTATGGCAGGTGCCTTTTGCTTCATCCTCATACAGCTAGTCTTACTTATTGATTTTGCCCATTCATGGAATGAATCATGGGTTGAAAAAATGGAAGAAGGAAACTCGAGATGTTGGTATGCAGGTAAGTTTTTGTCTTACAGATTATCTTCAAGGTAGTTGAATTCTGAAGATGAAAGCAGATATGTAGACTATGGGGAAATCATGATTTTATGGGGTTAATTTTCTATGAAGAGGTTTGTATGTATCAGTAACACTAAAAGCATTCTTACAGCATTCTAATTGATGTTTATTAATAATGATGAGCTTGATTCCTATAAAACATGAACATTCAGGTGCATACAGCTGGTAACAAAAATGAGGGAAGCAAGCCAAGACTTTAAGTTTATATTCAGTCCTCATGAAAGTTGTAGCGATTCTGATACATTGGAGAGTATGAAGGCCCCGTCTAAAGAGCGTAGCCACTGCTCATTTCCATCTGATGGTTGCCCTTTGGAAATGTGAACCCATTATTGCCTTCTCTTTTTTTTTTTTTAGAAAAGCCATAAATCTGGATTTTTAAGTGAAATAATCTGAGTTTTAGCTAAAAAATATTTTATATCAGAGTGAAAGCTAAATGCAGCATATCCTCTAACCTAATACTTCTCTCATACAACTAGTGTATTTGAGCTCAGTGGTTAAAAATAAGGAGAGTTTGGTACTCAAAGAAGTCAGCTTTAGTCTTTGGGAAATTCACTTATATAGATAACCTCAGTCTTTAATGCAAAGTCTAATGTAAGAATTTTTGTTTTGCCCTCTGCTGTGCCCCCAGGGCCTGGGATGTTGTAGGCATTTAAAGATTTGTTGGATGGGTCCCCTGTCCTTGAGGCAGATGTACATAAATATTATGTATATTGAGCACACATAAGCACAGAAACTAAAACACATTGTGTATGTTGAAATTTATAGAGAAGACACTTAGGTTACCTTATAAATATAATAATGACTTATTTCATAACAAGTACTTTTTTAAATTTTAGTTGAGAAAAGCATTGATTTTGGAGCTTAGCAATGAAAATAATTTTGTTTCAAGTGCCTTTATTTATAACTAAACAATTATGGATCTTTAAAAACCTTTAGTAATATTCCTCTCCTAGTTCTTTTTCTTTTTTTTTAATTTAATCTTTATTGTATTTTTTCCCAATACCACTTAGACCCCTTGTTTTTCTGTATTTTGAAAATAATGGTTAGTACATGTAAATGTGTTTTGCATACTCTGTAATATAGTTATTACCATTAATAACAATCATATTAGTATGTTACTAACTTGAAGACATAATAGTGCATAGGTTTAAAGATTATAAAATTCTTCTGTAATAAAGTTCAGAATTAATATTTTCCCTGCTTTTATAGTCTGCATAATGCTGACAGTGTCACTTGCTTAAATATATTTTTAGTAAAACAAGATTGTTTTTAAACAAGGCCTATGCCTAATATCTAATATTTGTGATACAATCTAATTGTCCAAATATATTTCTTTCACAGCTTTGTTATCAGCTACAGCTCTGAATTATCTGCTGTCTTTAGTTGCTATCGTCCTGTTCTTTGTTTACTATACTCATCCAGCCAGTTGTTCAGAAAATAAAGCGTTCATCAGTGTCAACATGCTCCTCTGCCTTGGTGCTTCTGTAATGTCTATACTGCCCAAAATCCAAGTATGCTCTTTTATATCATTAGTTTGCATGAAACTTCTTTTTTTTCTAAGTTTTCCTAAATCTTCAAGGTGGTTAGAATATTTATCTCTATTGTTTATGTTTGTAGGAATCACAACCAAGATCTGGTTTGTTACAGTCTTCAGTAATTACAGTCTATACAATGTATTTGACATGGTCTGCTATGACCAATGAACCAGGTAATGTTTTGTTTGCTTGGGTTTATTTCTTTTTACTCAGTCCTGCAATTTTTTCTTTTTTTTTTCCCCCCAGAGGTAGCCATTTTGTGAAATGGAAGCTATTTAAAAATTAAGGCATACAAATGCTGCATTATTTCACTCATTTGTGGAATATGTAAAACAAAAGGATAGATAACAAATTCATAAAGATAGGCAACAGATTGGCAGTTACCAGAGGGCAAGGCGTGCTTAGAGGGATGGCATAAGGTTTAGAGGGGGTCAGCTGGTGACAGAAGGCAGTCGTATTCCCAGAAGAATAGAGTACGGACATACCATTTTCATGTATGCTGAATGGTTATATATTTTTTAGTTTCTTTCACTGACAAAATTTTAAGAAATTACAAGAAGTGTACCTAATTTGCACAGTGCATATGATAAATTTGGAGAAATAAAAGTGGTTCAAATGCTTACTGATTCAGTTGTAGACTGTATTTTTTTTTTTTTTTTTTTAACTACTGGTTATCCTTTTTGTCTGTGACAACCTTGCAAGTGAATATAATTGGGGCTTTGTAGTGAATCTCTTTATAGGTCAGTTACACTGCATTTCATGGGAACAGAAACCAATATACGTCGTTTGAAGTGAAACAAATTGGTTGAAGAATTACTATTTTTTGAAAGGAAGAAAATAGTCTTTTCCTTTAGGATAATTATAACACATTGAGTCTCATTTTATTGAATTTAGAGACTCTGTAGGCACTTTATCACTAGTTGGAGAATGGGTTTTTTTTGTTTACTATATTAAAGATTCATTATTAATTTGATCTAGGTAAGTGGTTAGAAAAAAATTAGTAATTTGATTTTGAGGTCATTCTTATCTGAATGGCTTTAAGAATCATTTTTTCACTAACATATCTGGCTTTTTGGGGGAAAAACATACTTTGGAAACTTTACTGAATACTTTGCCAAGCCTGCTTCAGTTCTTTCTTAGAAGAGTTAAGAAACTGAAAAAGCATCAGGTCATTACGACTTATTTGGTCATTTTCACAAAGTGTTTGCTAAAATTCTAATTGGTATGTGTAAGCTATCTTGCCTTTATAGCAATGTACTTTGACAGATTGATAAACTTCATAAATTTAGTACTCACTGTTTGTCATAATACGTGGTAAAAAGCCAATGCATTTTGGTTTGGAACACTTGAATTTTATTTATTCCTAAGTTGGCTAGAGATTTATTATACTTTAGAGAACCTAATAATATTCAAGCACTTCTATAAAATTAGCAATATAAAATTGGAAAAGTTTCATTATTAATATAAATACATATAGTCTTAAAGTATTTTTTTGTTATGCTTGTGCCTTTTTCCAGAAAACTTTTTTGAATTTGTTGTTCTTTGTCAGAGTTAAAAAAAGAACTACAATTAAACCTTGAAAAATAAAATTTTCATTTTATTCTAACAGTTTAATTTGACCTTAATTTACATTACAGAAACAAACTGCAACCCGAGTCTGCTAAGCATAATTGGGTACAATACGACGAGAACTGCCCCAAAGGACGGGCAGTCCGTCCAGTGGTGGCATGCTCAAGGAATTATAGGACTAATCCTCTTTTTATTGTGTGTGTTTTATTCAAGGTAAGAACAATTATGAATTATTTTTAACAAGAAGTCTAGATATTCATTTATAAATCAATTTTTAATGCCCTTTTTCTTCTCTTTTTCTAAACCGTTTTCATTCAGCATCCGTACTTCCAATAATAGTCAGGTTAATAAGCTGACTCTAACAAGTGATGAATCAACTTTGATAGAGGACGGTGGAGCCAGAAGTGATGGATCCCTTGAGGACGGAGATGATGTTCACCGAGCTGTAGATAATGAAAGGGATGGTGTCACTTACAGTTATTCCTTCTTTCACTTCATGCTTTTCCTGGCTTCCCTTTATATCATGATGACCCTTACCAACTGGTACAGGTACTTACATTTTATGAAAACTTTGCATGTGGAAATTCTGATAGCTCTTTCTTAATTCCAGTGTAAAATATGGTGTAAAATACTTGTTAATCCTTTAGTATATTTTAAAATTTTATAGCTAAATGAATGGTGAGATCAGAGAGTGAAATGCAGCTTTTACTTCCATGCTTTTGCAATAATAAACATTGAAATATTTCCAAATCTTGGAGGAGTTAAAATAGGTTTCATGAAACTAATATTTTTTAGAGAAATACATTTTGATAATTGATCCAACAATTTGTTTTTCCTTATTTTTTAAATACTGTAACCAATTGCTGACAAAATACAGTAGAAGATACTACTTCTGTTGTGTTCAATTTGTCATTAAGGCTTTAAAATTGAAGTGTGAATACATTAGTGTAGATGGATCCTTAGAATGCTTCAAAGCTAATTCATGCTTTTTGTAAATCACTTTCAAAACTTACACATCTTTTTCTAGTAAGAGGAAGGTAGCAATTTATATTATTTTAATTTTCAAAATTCTAATTTTGTTCAAATGATTGATTTTCAAGATTCAAGGTGAACTGTATGTTTTGGGCAGTTCTGTTTTTAATAATTTTTAATGCATAATACCTTTAACTTGTAATAAACCTTTAAATACCAGCAGAAAGATTTTTTAAAAATTATTTTGCCTCATTTCTTTCAGAGCAACCTTTACTGTCATTTATTATTAAAAAATAAAGTTTTAAAAATTCCTACAGTGCAAAACATATTAAGCTGTAAGAATCCACCTAGTTCTCAGTAATAAGTGTTAAGACTTTAGATCAAAATGTATTTGGCATGTTTCCTTAACACAAAAATCAGCTAAATTTGGGATGTATTTCCTCCCAGTCTTAAATCCAAGACTGGAATGGGGGATAGGAGGGAGTTCCCTTTATATCCTTTGAACAGATTATATTCTTTATAAAGGATAGAATTGACAAGTCTTTTGTGATAACATCTTTCTTATGCAGAGGTCATGCTCCATTTCTCTATTTCATAGCTACAAATCCTAGAAGTATACAAAAAGCCTGAGTATTTAAAACAGCTTTTAGATGCTTATGTCTTTTACTCCTTTAAAGAAAATTACTGATGTTTACCTTCATATTAGTTATTAATGTGGAAAGCAAGGCAACAGATTAGTCAGCAACTATGTATCTGTTGTTACAAATTTCATACAAAGAAAACTTCTGAAGTAATGAGGTAGCATGAGGGCTGATAATTCAGTACCTCCCATTTTGTTTTTCTTTTAAATTTCAGGTATGAGCCTTCTCGTGAGATGAAAAGTCAGTGGACAGCTGTCTGGGTTAAAATCTCTTCTAGTTGGATCGGCATTGTACTATATGTTTGGACGCTGGTGGCACCACTTGTTCTTACAAACCGTGATTTTGACTGATGAGGACTTCTGGCATGAAAGTCCCAATGTAATCATTGCTTATTTGAAATTAACAGTATTTCCAACTTTTGTAAAGTTGTGTGCGTGTGTGCTTCCCATGATACTTCTCCAGTGTCCTGGCATGAATTAGATTTTACTGCTTGCCATTTTATTCATTATATTCTTGTCAGGCGTGTTGCTAAGGAGTGTTAGAATGAATTGCAGAGGTTTTATGGTATGGTGGTGAGTTAGGAAAGGTGGACATTGTGAAGTTTATCCTGTTCTGTACCTGTGAACATAATAGTAAAAAAAGGCTACTTGACAATTTGACTTTTAAATTGTGTTAGAACTTAAGTGTAGAAAGTATAAAGGAAGTGAGTGGCTGCCTTTTGAAATATTTGATGTCTTGCTCTGGGAGACTGCAAAGAATACGGCTATTTAAAAATTGTATAAGCGAGTCACTTAAATTTGACAGTTGTCTCAAAAACATTTTTAGGTTTTTCCCTTGGTATAAAGATAGGAAACTTATACAGACAATGTTTGATGGAAAGCAGTGTAAGTTAGGATGGGAATTGAGGCAGAGACTTAAACTCATATTGGTAATGGAAACTCAAATTGAACACCCAATTAGGTTTTAATCTTCCCAGAGTAGGGATGGCCTTACAACACAGTAAGCTTTGTTTTGGTCATTATAAACATGTAAAGTATGGGTTCAGTGGAGACAATAGGAACTCTGGAGGATTTAGACAAAGGTTTTAAAAAGGATAATCATGAATTAGAAGGAAGTTGTTGAAATCAAAGGTGAGAAACTTTGGACAGGACAGCAAGAAACTGCAAAAAAGTAGGCTTCAGTAGATACTTAGACAAAATCTAGTGCAGTCCTGCCATTTTAAAAAAGAAGCAACAGAAGTACAGACTTAAACAGCTCAGATAGCTAATTAGTGGCAAAGCTCAGAAGGTCTGAGTCTGCCCAAAACAGCTGACATTCCTTCTGGCATTCACAACTAATTTGTTAAAAATACACGCATAATAGATTTTACACCTGACTAGTTGTAGGTACTTTGTATTGTGAATTGCTGGTGTCCAGCTTGCCACCTGCCTGTAAACTGGGGCCCTGAGAATGGTGGAATGCTGTAGAATAAACTCCTGCTTATAGTTCACTTACACAGTTGAAAGGATGTTTTAAAATGCTTTTTTATCTGCTGCCATCTAAGTAAAATATATAGATTGTTATAATCTTAAAAATTATGCAGTATGTAACAGCTAACTTAGAAACTTAGTTACTTGTGTCATCAGTGTCTTAATCTTATCCCCCCAAAAACCTACATTTGCTTCTAAGATATTTATTTAAATGTAATGTAACAATACAGCTAATTCCCCAACCTTATTCTCTATTGATATTGTATTCTATGATTTGAATGACTGTATTGTCTCTAAATAAATAAATTCAGAGAAAGTGTGCATTGTATTTTTTATCTACTCAAATATAGGTGGCTATAATACTCAGATCTACTTCTTGTATATAAAAGAACCTGGCACTAGAGGGCTAATCAACCATTTTCTGTCCTGAAATATTCAGTTGTTTCAAAGGTGATAATTTACCCTTTTGGTCCTTTTAAAGTGTTGGTATACTTCTAAAGAACTTTTTAGTGTACCGGTTTATTTTGGGGATACTACTTAACTATAAAAAGGAGTGCACTATTGATATGACCTAAGCGGATCCTCCAGGGCAACTATTTTCCAGAGCAACAGTAGCATTTCATATTCACACCATTGATGTATGAGCAGTTTGGTTTCTTTTTGATACCAGTTTTTTTCCTTTTAGCCGTTCTGATAGAAATGTGATCTCATTGTGGTTTTGCTTTTCTCAAATGGCTAATGTCGAGTATCTTTTCACTGCCAATTTGCCATCCATGTGACCTCTTCAGCAAAATGTCTCTTCATGTCATTTGGCCATTTTTTAATTGGATTTTTTTTTTTTGTTTGTTTCTGTTGAGTTTTGCGAGTTCATATATTCTAGATATTTGTTCTGTATCAGGTATGTAGTTTGCAAATATTTTCTCCCAGTCTATAACTTTTTTTCCCCATCCATCCTCTTAGGTTCTTTTGCAGAGCGAAAGTGTGTAATTTTGATTAGATTAAATTTATCAATTTTTTTAAAAAGACCCTAAATATCTCAATTATCTGTCTTGCCGTCCTTGGGTTGTTTTTGGGACAGCATGCAAAGTATTTTAGAACCTTTGGGCTCAGATATGTTCCCTTTGATACTCCAATCTACTAAGTCAAAGTTAACTGAAAAAGGTAGATAGCATGTACCTTTTATATACAAAGGGGGGGGGAGCCAAAAATACTGGAATTTGAGAAATTGTGTATTCTTAAATGTTTAAACTTCAGCCACATTCAAAGTACTCTGATGCAATACACCTATTGAGACTTTTTTCCACTGCTCAAAACAGTTCTTGAACTCATTGATTTTGATGGCTTTTAGTGCTTCTGCTGCTTTTCGTTTCACTTCTTCCACCTTGGCAAAACGTCTCTTAGAAGACTTTTTTAACTGAAGAAACAGAGTCAATTGGGGTGAGATCAGGTGAATAGAGAGGGTGGGGCATGGGTGTCATGCTGTCTTTTTGGTCAAAAACTGCTGACATTCAGCAATGTGGGCAGGTGTGCTTGTAAATCACCTGTCATGAAATGGGCAAACACACTGAGTCTTCAAAGCAACCTCCCTGAAGCTGAATGCAGCTTCTCACTGGTTCCTAGGGCACTCGCAGGGGAAGCCTGTGTTATAATGGGCTTGCCCTCTAGAAGATGATTCTCGTTTGTTTTTTGGGGGGGGCATCCCCCTCATATGCTGAAAATGGCACTTCACCTCTGGTCTTTCCCAAACCCCATAACCCCAGTCTAATCATGGAAAAAGCATCAGGTAACCCCCAATTGAGGACACAATGTATCATCAGGCCAATGTTCTCCAAAACTATCAAGGTCTAGCTTATTTGTATTGTAGCCTGTTACCAATTCCTTGAAATGTGTTAATTTCCTTTGTAGCCTAATAAGCAACCTGTTCTCAAAAAATATTTAATGTATGCTTGAAACAAAAGGCTAGATGCTAATTCTTAAATGTAGCATTCTATATATGCTCATCATAGTGACTGTCATTGGTCATTTTCCCAGTATGCAAACCTACCTTCTCACACTTCAGCCTCTCAACTCCTGGGTATGCTGTATGTATGAAACAAAGAGTAAATCTTTACTTAACATCACCTGTAGGTTCTCAGAAACTGTGACTTCATACAACAAAACTTTACCACTGGCGAATTGATTAAAGCAAGAGTTGAGTTCTTCTGGCTTATTTCTGGTCACAAAAACATCACCAAACTTCTAAATAAAGACCCAAAACACTTCCAGGATCAACACTGAAATAAATGTTTTTATTACCCTTTCTTAAATGGATGTATAAAACACAAGATGATTTCCAACCCACTTATTCCAGCTCAGGGTTGCAAGTGGCCAGAGGCTATCCCAGCATCTCAGGGCACAAGGTGGGAACCAAACCTGCACAGAACACAAATTGCAGGGCACCCTCACACACTCAACTGGGACAATTCAGACAGGGTGATTCACCTCATGTGTACATCATTAGAATGTGGGAGGAAACGAGTCCTGGAGGAAACACACAGACATGGAGAAAACATGCAAACTGCACAGGGACCCCAGCTGGGAACTGATTTCCTTATCGTTATAATGAAACCACATTGGACCAAATGGTATTTGAGGACCTGCTGTAGTGATACCCTAAGTAGAACATTTAGCTCTGTAATGCACAAGCTACTTCCTACTGCATTTCCTGAGGCATGAGAAAGTTGGAGGTGGGATAGAGATGCACAGCCTCTCAGTTAAGTGTCTTCATATGGTGATACTTGTTTTCCAAATGGTACAGACACTTTCTCTGGTAAACACAAGCTAAATTAAAGGAATCAGTTCCCACACCTTGAATTTCCATGTGTACTCTTTCCTAGAGGTGGTCTGCCTGAAAGGATGCCTCAGGATAAAGCTTTATCCTCCTTAACAATTATTCTCACATTAGACAAAACTGATAAGACCTTTCCTCCATTCTGAATCTTACCAAGGCACTTGGATAAAATCTAAGTAGAAACAATTTTAAATATTGGTGTGAAAGAGAATGACTGTGTAATTGTTCATTTATATGTGGAATCTAAACAAAAATGAACAAACAAAATAAAAACAGACTCATAAAAACAGACCAAAGGGATAGCTGGTTACCCAGGGGGAGGAGATGAGAATATGTGAAAAAGGTGGAAGGGAATATAGTCAATAATATTGTGGTAAGTTAACACAGTGACAGATGATCACCAGAATTAGTGAGGTGTTCACATTGTAAATTTACCAAAATACCAAATCACCATATGGTACAACTAAAATATATACCTACATTTATATTTTTAAAAATGACTTGTAAACAAAAAAATCCTGTAATTCTGATGTTTTCTATTGAGTCCCTCTCAAAAATTAAAAGGTGATGTAATTAAGTCACCAGCTGATAAAATCACTTTAAAAAACTTCGTAATAGTGAATTCTAGTATATAATTCCCAAGTTGTTCAAAGAATTGAATGACATTATTAAAAAATCCTTCCATTCTCATCTAATTTTTGTTATAAACTATGGTTCTTAGAACTTTACATCTATAAGAGCAAAAAATAAGAATAAAATTGATCTTACTACTATATTGATATTATTCTCTGAATTTTAAAAAATAGGGAAGAAACTCTCAGGATCTGTTCATCCCACTAAAAGATGTACTTCTGATAAAAAATTTTTTGTTTAGTAATAGTTCATCAAAATTTGGACTGTATACTAGTGAACACTGAAACTGTAACAAGTAGAACAAAATTCAGAGGAGAATGAATGTAAGTTTGTTGCCCCCTTACCAGAACGTACAACTGTGAGTATCCATTTTAGATTTCACAGGTCTACAGGATGGGGTGGCTCTCCTTTAAACTGTGATTCCAGAAGCCAAGTTTCTTCCTTCTTGGGTGTATACTGGAAGCCACACACTCTTCTGCATCAAGTTAGTGGACGGGTAAAGGGCCAGGATGATTGCATGAGGAAGGCTTTCACAGACCAAACCTGGAAGTTCTATGCATCACTTCTCTCTGACTTAGCAGAACTGTTATATAGCTACTCTGATTTACAAAGGTGGAAATAACTGCATGATGGGAAGAGTCTGTCAACCAGTTGAAAGTCTCTGCCACGTATATTTATGTTTTGCTGAACCATGTATTTATAATGGAGACTTTTTGAACACTTAGAATTTTAAGCATACAGAAAATAATTTCAAATTTAGTTGTAGAGACATGTGACAACATCTTTAATTGCATAACCTTTGTGCATAATAAAAATAGGGTAAAATTCTTTGAGGAAGTGAAATGAATGGTGAAATGTATGAAATCACTGGTACTTAGATTATTTTAGTTACATTAAAAAGAAGCACTCGATAACTTTTTTAAAATAGTCATTAACATCCTAAATTCATTTGAATTATCAAACTTTAGATGAAAAAACCTTAAAATGTCAACCTAAAATTACTAGGTGTATAGAGTCTTTCAAAATCATTTTTAGAATACTTCCAAAGCTCCAATATGTCCCCGAGAAGAAATGTGATCATATCCCACAATGAAGAAGGGAAGAGAAAAAGAATCATCTCTGAAGTTGTCTCTTTCAGTCTTTCAACTCCTTTCACCTGAAAACCTCTATGAAGCGCTTATGCAGAAAACTGTTCTGAGGTCTTCAATTAGTTAACCAAGATCCCATTGTTTGAGCTAAGTATTTTAAGATATGCTAAGAAAAGGTTTACTATCCCTGTGCTAGGCTTTACTGTGAATTTTTACATTATAGAGAAATTTCAAGGTATTAAAAAGCAGAATATGCCCAATAGGGAAGCCATCTCTGTAATTCCTCAAGTAGCCCTATAATATTCAGATATTAACCATATGGCTTCCAGCGCCCAGCCTGAATCTAAGCAATAAAAGAAAAAGGTGGCCTTGTTTTTGTTTTGCATGAAGCCTCCATAATCCTCTGAGCATCTGTTCCAAAGAGAGAAAAGTGATTTGAATTTCTCTCATCTTTTTGCAGGACAAAAATCATAAGCCCTTATCCAGTGATAATGATTTTTACATATCTGGAACAATGAGAGGCATACTACTCTTAGTTCTTTATTAGAAACATAGTAAGAAAGCCACTATAATTTTTGAACAGAGAAATATAAAACATTAAGTTTAGAAACTTTATATTTTCCCTTACAGCAATACACAGTCTATCTTTTGGGATGAGGCACAAAGATCATGGTGTAACTCAGGTGAGTGTCACCTCCAAAGAAAACACGTAACGGACACTAGTATGCAACATTCATTATATTTATTTTACTAAATATTATGGTTCAAAAAAACAAACCAAAAACTTGTACTTAAAACTAGCCCAACTAGGCAGACTGGACTGATGCCATCCCCTTCTTCTATGTAGACATAACTGGAACCATATCAGACAGCAAGCACTCATGTATGTATACTCTGCCTTTCCTGTTGAACATGAATGGACTTTTCTGAACCAGGAGAGACAAATGAAGTTTTACAAGATACAGGCACTTTATGTTCCCAGTTTTAGAAATAAGCCAAGTGAAAAATACTTAGTAAAGTAATTGGAACAGAGAAAGCTTTAGTAGTTCTACCATTAATTTTAGTAACTACACTCAATGCAGACAGACAGCATCAAACAAGTAAAACAAACAAAAGTTTAATAACTGGGGTTAATGGGCATATATATATATATATATAAAAAATAATTCAAATTTACTACAACTGGAGAAAAATGCCCATCTGAATCCAACTTAAAGATATGCCAATAATGTGCATTAAATCTTGTGTACCTACATAGCTGAGTAACATCTGAAAGCTTTGCAAGAGTGTGTGGTTAGTGAGAAAAGCAAAAGGTGCTTTTGATTCCACAGTATCCAATTAAACAACAAAAGAAAGCAATTTACAAAAAAGGTACCAAATAATACTTTAAAATAAATAGTTCATCATTTTGATGAATATATACATGTAGAGTCCACTTCTTGGAAATTTAGCTATCTAAAAGTGGCATATCACTATCAAGAGGTGCAGGAGCAAGTTCACATAAATAGAACAGTGTGGCTTCACTAGCTTCGGCTTCTGTCAATGGTTCCAGACGAACAAGCTTACTTTGGGTTGGTTCTGGGTCCAGACTGCTATCCAGAAGCTCATCAACTTCAATGGGTTTATCTACAGAGGACATAACTTCTGATGATGCTGTGCTTCCCTGTTCAACAGTAGAAGCAGGGTTCCCATCCAGGAATGCAAGAAGTGGAAAGGCCGTGTACTGGATAAGCTGTTTATCTATAATAAAGATTAGAAAATAGGACTTTTATCACCACCTTATACAGAGTTCAAGATGACAGTAGAATAAACAGAAACAGAGATGTACACATACGTAATCACTAACCCAGCAAACAAGAAATCAGGTATTTGTCAGTAAACATTAAACATTAAAAGATGTTCAAGTCAGAAAAGTTAGTCTTTTATTCAACAATTAAGAAATGAGGGTTGCCCTGGCTGGTGTGGCTCAGTAGACTGAATGCTGGCTGGCCTGTGAACCAAAAGTTTGCAGGTTCAATTCCAGTCAGGGAACTTGCCTGGATTGCAGGCTAGGCCCCCAGTTGTTGTACAAGAGGCAACCAATGGATGTTTCTTTTGTCCATCAGTGTTTTCTTCCTCTCCTTCTCCCTTCCTTCCCCCTCTCTAAAAAATCAAAAAATCTTTTAAAAAATGAAATGAAGGTGTTTTTAGTTCTACTCAAGTTAAAATACAAAACACAACTTAAATTTTAAAAACTATTACCTCACCAATTCGATTTTCTCTTTTGCTGGAACCTTGACACATTATGCATAGAAATGAGACCAGCACAATTCTGTGTTCAATTGTTAAGTATGGCAAGAATTTCACTGGCATGCATTAGTTCCTATGTAGGCCTCCTAATTTTATTTTATTTTATGTTAGCGCGAGAGAAAAAGAAAGGGAGAGGGAGAAAGAGATACAGAGGCATCGATTTATTGTTCTACTTCTTTATGCATATAAATTGGTTGCTTCTTGTATGTGCCCTGATCGGAGATGGAATCTACAATCTTGGCGTATGGGGATGATACTCCAACCAACTGAGCTGTCCAGCCAGGGCAGTATTCCTAATTTTAAAATTCTATAGAAACTAGTACTACATTTATACCTACCTGTTTTAGGTTTAGATTTTCTTCCCTCTTCCGAGACTGGCTGAACTACATTGTTCTTGGTAGCTTCTAATCCTTTATTCTCGGACTAAAAGAAAAATAACATAATACTTTTTCATATTGTATATATTCCTGAAAATAGCAAAACATAAAAACTGGTACGTGAATATTGTGAATATTGGTATATTATCTGGAAAATACGGGAAGGAGAAGCATCAGGAAAGAGATTTGAGTAGAGGCAACAAGAATGGTTAAGAAAACTATTGCTGTCATTAAGTGGATGAAACAAAGATCTTGAACTAGGATGACAATAAGTATGAAAAGGAGGGAACATTTCAACAGTAGAGTAGACAGAATTTGTCAAGGATAAAAGATGGGACTAAGTCAAGATTACTTGTAATTAGGAGGTAATTCTTAAACTAATTTTAAACAGTTTTCATTAAAAATGTATTAGACATTTCTCTTCATTCACAGAGTAAATGAACATATTTAGATTAGTTGAGGATAACACAGTGGCATTCTAAAACTATTTATCCCTATATTTGGAAGCCTCAAAGTTAAAGTGGTTCTTCATTTCCTTTACGTGGCTCCTTCAGTTTTTTCCTGTTATTTAAATTTCTTCTTTCAACCAGTGTCTTCTCTTCTTACATCTGATTTTAAGGGAATTAAATCTCTAATGCTGTTAAATTCTTCAGTGCTCTTTTCAACGATGTTCAAAGTGAGTTGTAGAGGTTCACAATTTCTCGTAAACAGCCTTAAGACCCAGATACCTGCATGCTGGTTAGGCACATATGGTGTAATAAACGTACTAATTCCTGTAATTCCCCTGATAGTCATTAAAAAATAAAGCAGTAAAGTTTCCAGGATTCAGAGAGAATAAAAACACCAAGATATAATAAAAACTTAATACCTTTCCAAAAATTTACATTAAAATATTTCTCATTTAGTATTCACAAGAAACATTAAAGCAATAACAGAATTTTTATTTTTGTGCTTCCTAAAAAATAGATATATTCCAAGGATGCCACTGCTGTTAATATAAAACATATGAGAACCAAGATAACAGATAGGTTTCAGCTCCCATGCAAATTCTTATTCATTAGTAGTGGCCAGATTTCTGTACTGAGAAGTATAAAGTATCCCCATTTACTAGGAAAGAGTGTTGTAATCCATATCATACCTAAATAAACAAGGGGATAAGAGTGGATGTGCTAATTATTTGAAAACAATCAAGATTCTAGAACTATAATGAAAAGTGACTCTCAAATTTAATTCTTCTATAGTATTTTGAAGTAATATGCAATTTGCTATTTAAAAGCTATTTCTGAAAACTGTATTTAAGCTACTGGTTTTTGGAACAGGGAGGAGATCCAAGAATAAAGAATGACTTAAATGTCTAAGCAATAAATAAACAGTATATTACATTTGCTAAATAAATGCATGATATGGGATCATTCAACTTAATGTCTAACTATTCAATAATATATTTACTAAATCACAGTGCTGAGGTGGTTCACAGAATCTTATAACATAAACCTGGACAAACTAAGGTACACATGCCAAACACAGCATGCTGCCTGCTTTTGTAAATAAAGTTTTATTGGAACACAGCTACACTCATTCTTTTAAGTACTATCTGTACTGCACTAAAGTACTATTCTGCAGTAAAATTACAAAGCTGAGTAGACGTGACAGAGATTAACACATGATAATAGTGAGAAAATTAACACATGATAATAGTGAGAAAAATTAAAGTCCCTTACTGTAATCACTCATTTATTTGATGTGTTCATTTTTAGACTGTATATTTGATTACACTAATCTAGAGTCCACAAATTTCAGACGACTTGATTTACCTTTGTAATCAATGAAAAACAGGGATTACTAAACAATTTGGTATAAATGTAAGATAAACAGAGCATATACCTATTTAAGAAAATAAACAGTACCAAGTAAAACAGTAATTTCTAAATGTCCATTCTAACAACCTCAAACTATCCCTTTTTACTCATGAAAAACCAGTTTCAAAGAATTTCTTATTAACATGTGCTAATCCCAACTGGAGTTCCTGTACCTTTAAGGAAATAACAAAAACCATTACTTAAAGAAGTCTAAAAGCCATAATTTCTTTCAATTTACCTCATCTAAAGTCTGTACAAATCCCTGAGCTTTTACTATATTCTAATAAAATGAAGAAACTTATTTAAGAATATGGGTTCAAGCTAATTCTCAATTTAAAATGCTGAGAAGTTTACTGAAGTTATAAGTATGTAAAATCAAGCACATAAAGCAAAGAAATCGTATTTTAATAACTTATTTCAGTGACATACTTGAACATGCCAAATTTAATTATACGATCTGCCAGCACTTTGAGGGCTGATTTCATACTGGTAGTTAATCATATAAGTACCAGTAAAAGTGAGCAACGATTCACCCAGAAAACAAAAGCTGATTTTTCATCTAAATTTTACTATCTTGTTCACATATATTAGGTCAGAATATAAAATGCTTTGTAACTGGGAGTGACACTGCTCTCTACTTACTAGGAATGTTTTCAGATTCTTATAGCTATGGGTCCTGAGCAACATGAATTAAAACTTACTTTTGTATTATTGATGTAATCTGTGGGATTCATCTGCACAGAACTAGTGAAAAGCTGAAAGACCAAACAAGAAAGATAAGTTTAAAAATATTTTTAAAAAACTAACTGTGTTCAAAATTTTTATACAGCCATGTTGGGTGAAGAGATGTAGCTCCTGTACTAGGAAGTTTCCATACAATAAAATAAATTTAGAAGTGAAAAGCAGGAAAGCAGAAAGAAAAACAAACAAATCAGAGCAAGTTAGCCCATGCATTAGATGTTGTATGAGTTTCTCTATAAAACTATGAAGTAACCATTTGAGACAAACTGGTTTTCCACAGCTTCCCTCTCCCTTCATTCCTTTATTTTTCTTCTCCCTAAATATGTTAGGCCTTAAGTGGCAAACAGAACTGAGTTCCTTGTCCTGACACTAACCCTTCACTCACCATTTGCTATTCTGTGATAAATTTATAGAATCTGCTCTATGACAGTGGCTCCTAGAATACAAATGGCACACTTCTGTTGGTTTTCACCTCACCGAGCAAGGGAAATTGTAGACACTAAGACCACTGCTTACTGTTCTCCTGTCAAGCCAGTTCACAGACATAACTTCTGTTTGTCGTAAGATTCAAAGTCATTAATTTCATAGGGATTTATTAACCATATAAGACATACTTGACATCATAAACAATATAAAATGAAGACAGTATTCCTGCTCTTCAGGAGCTTACAATCTAGAAGACAAAATAGGTACAACATCAAATAACAACATATGATCACATACAATCCAGCATTAAGGTAATAATGGATGGCAGAGTTCAAAAGTACTAAGAAGTTAAGAGAATAAAAGAAGGAAAACACACAGACACAAACACACATACACATACAAGATAAACAAAAACTCTGGATGACGCTATGTAACATTATCAGTCAGTCCCTGGGGCTGGTTAGGACCTGGAAAGGAAAGGATGGAGGGAATACACTGTTATATATAACATTAGCAACAACAAAGAATAAGATGACCAGTCCAAATAACACAGAAGTTGTGAGTTGATTAGTGAGTTGTATAAATAAGGTTCAAAAAATAAAGCATAGCCAATCAGGAGACAAGACCACATTCTGTTGGCTTTAAAAGCCTTGCGAATGGACTAAGCAATGAAATAGGGCAATTAAAGCATTTTAACAGAATGAGCACACCAGAATAGTTCACAGGATAGAATGTAATGCAGAAGCCACAGGCAAATTCCCTCTATCCTGTCTAGACATTGACTCCTCTCAAACTTCCACATTCACAGACCTAAAAATATCCCCAGCTCTTCCTTTTCATTCATTAACTGTTTCCCCTGTCATATCACATACTGATACATGAAGAGATTTAGTTCCTTAAGAGCAGTTATATGTGACTGCTAATCTCTTGCACTGCCTTAGAGACCTGACCAAATTTTGTCCCTACTGAGAGTGGCATCTAAAGAGGACCAACAGTGTAACATCCTCACTCATTCTTTGCCCTACTCCCCCTACACATTGACTCAGGAATACCTTCATGTATTCCCAGCAGATCTATAGTATGAACTAGAAAAAAAAGTAGATCACAGATGAGGAGCTAACATGGTTGGTTGAATTATTTGACTCCACAATGGGTCACTCAGTACTAAACTTTGCAGAGAGAACCCAGGAACTCTTCAGCACACTTATTCATGTCTTTATCATCTTTGCCATCTCAGACAACAAGGCAAACCTATGGCTGGATTTTTTATTTATGACAATAGAACATAATTCAAGGATGATCTCATCTTTGAATTATGCTCTATTATGAAGGTCTTGAATGAGAGAGGCAAGAATGGAAAATTTAAAATTGAAAACAGTATCTAGTTTAGAAAATAAACGTTTGGTGTTAAACACAATTAATATAAGGCAAGATCTAACTGTTTTTTCTCAAAAGTATGGAATTAGAATTCAAGGAAAGTTTACTTTAAAAAATATTAGGAAGAGAGCAATACTACAAGCACAAATTCCTTCAGAGAGGAAGGGCAGAAAAAGAAGACATAGAGAAAATAAAAGAGGATAAAAGACCAAGTACCTTGGGGAAGACCAACAAGTATAAGCCAACAGGAAAAAGAGAAGTTTCTAGAGTATATGGAGAACATTTAGGGAGACAGGAAAAGAACAAAGGTCCCAGAGCTTCTCAAATCAACAGAACAAGTTGATTTTAGTAAAACACTGATTTAGGAAACTCAGTAGTATTAATAATAATACTAGTAATCAGTTATAATTCTTACAATGGCCCTTTCAAGGCATTAGCTACATTTTATAGATGGGCAAACTGTGAAGAGAAGTTAACTTTCCCAAGATTAATAATCACATAGCTAGTATAGTAATAAGTAAGATGAAACAAAAATGGATCCCAAATCCGATTCAATAACAAACCTTCTGATAGCTCAGTGACCTAATTTGGGAGCAAAAATCACAGCCTACTCGCTATGAATAAACCAAGGCAGAACAGGCTTAGAGTAAACAAGTAAAACATTACAGGGTTTCAAAAGAAATAAAGAGTAAAAAAAAAGAAACAAATATAGCCCCACTCATTTAGAAAAGCAGAATGGTAAGTGAGCAGAACAACACGTCAAAATGTTTTTTAAGACGGGGAAGATCTGCACCTACTGAAGGCAAATGGGGAAAGATCAAGGATAGAGATAGAAAAATAGAGAGGCAGGAGCAGGTGTACAAATTGGCTTCAAAGAGGAAGTAAGTACTTCCTCTAAGATGAGATTCCACATCTTATGAGAGGACCAAGACAGGGTGAATTATCCTGTGTGAAAACAGTTGCCTGGATGCAGTCATGAGGAAAAACAAGTGTGATAAATACTCCAAAGTTGAATTAAAATAATCTAGTTGAAGACTGCAAGGGTTTGTAGAAGATTAGAATTATAGGATTTTATTTCTTAGTAATCTAAGAGACTGATACTCTGGAAGGTCCCGGAATTCAGAGTGGGGCAAAGACTAATAGGCTCAAGGACGGTCAATTTACTATTAACCAATTGAAACAGGGCATCAACATGGACGTTGAATTCACTTAAAATCATTAACACAGGTCAGCATGGAAGGAAGTCTTCAAAGACAGTGAAATCCATCCTGTGAGGCACTGATAGGACGATGAAGTCTTGTCACACAAAGACTGATGAGAAGCAGAGGAATAAGGTGGTAAAATTAGACTAAGGGGTAAGAAAGGACTAATTCCTTTAGCTTCACTGAGAAGCTCTTAAAAGGACAAGACTGTACAATCTTGATGTGAGAGAAGCTGCATTTTATGGAAAAAAAAAAATTGCCAAAAAAGGATCAAACAAAACTTTCAACAGACAGAAACATGTTCATGACAGGAAATAAAAATGAGGAGAGAACCAGATTCATATGGATGGAAGCAGGCCACAAAGGAAGCTTTGGTAAAAAAGGCTTAGGTAAGGAAGGGAGGGGTGATAGGCACACAAGGGAAGAGAACAAGAAAGGTGGTTAGTGCCAGGAATGGTACTAGATAAGGACCCACAAACAACACAACACTGGAGTCAAGTTCACAGAGGTAGTGGTAGGGACTGGAGCAGGGAAACCTGAGGGCACAGGACATAAAATTTTTAAAAATATAGTTAGTATATAATATATTTGAGTGGAAAACATTAATTCCCAAAGTTAAGAAGTATCTTCATGCCATTTCCTGGCTACATATTTCTGTTACTAATTTCCACCAATTTCTGTTCAGACAATTTATCCTACAGTAAAACATAATACAGCAACACATACAGACAAGACCTAGATACTAATGTTGAACACAGCTGACATGTTATATGGGGATTAACTGAACTGCTACTCAGAAATGGGTAGTTATGACCGTCTTTCCTGTCCTGAATCCATCTGCTCAATCTTTCTGATACACGAAAACCATTGATTTAAATAAAAAGAAAATGCAAAACCAAGTGTACAAGAAAATGATGTACATATTTAGAAATAATATACATAAGATACACAAACTGCCAGTACAAAAAAGATTATTCAAAGTACCTACATCAACCAGGAGATCTGGATCTATGCTAAACTGTCTTCCTGACAGCATGGCTTGGAAGTCCTCTAAACTGCAATCAATACTGTCAAGATAATCCAACAGCTCCACCCTAAGGAAAAAAAATTGAAATAAGAAATCAATTAGGTTTCCTTTGTTTTTTATGTTTAAAATTACATTGCAATCTAGCTAAGTAAACCATTCCCAGAAACTGCTGAATCCTTACCAATTTTAAATCTCAACAGATCCTATTCAATACTGGAGATTCCTGAAAATTCAGTTAACTTAGAAGCCACAACCTGCACACAAAACTTTAGTGTTTACAGAAAAAAGGTTCAGCAGCAATACAGCCTGATTCATCTTTCCTTTACATTATAAATTATTAAATATTTAACCTCTTATTACCTGTCATTGGGACTAATTTCTGATTTTCTTATGCTATTAATAGGTCCCTTGATAAAGGTATGTTATTCTATAGTCCTGATATAAGCTAGTATAATACAATTACACATATGTTATAGACATTCAAACAAGTATTTCGTTAAAAATAATCTGAGGAACTGACAAGAAAATCCCAACACTGCTCTTGGGATGATTAAATCCTTCTCACAACAGCATTTGTGAAGCTCAGCCATGACCAAAACAAAGAAAGGCTGATTACATGTGTTCACACTGTGAAAGGAAGATCAAAGAGAGAGAGAGAGAGAATATGTGAAATAAACAACGCAAACAAAATTAACCACCTAGATGAGCACTCACTTTCCCAAAAGATTGATGTTATCATTTAAAATGGAATCCATCATGGTCACAGGATCTTCTGCAGTCAGACTGGAAGAACCATTGAGCTGGACGGCACTAGACATGAGAGGGCTAGTGCCATCACTCCCAGAACTTAGGGTTTCTCTGGCTGGTTCATTCTGATCTCCACTCTGAATGACAGGTGCATACTCATCTTCGTTGTCATCTTCAACAATGACAATATCAGGGTACTGACTACAGCTAGGTCAGCAATACAACAAAGAACCAAGATTTAGATTAGATTTTCAGACCAATGCAATAAATTAATTCTATCCATTCATTCTCCTTGGAAATTCTCTCCCCAAACCACACCTCTGAATGGTTAAATTTCTTGGGAAAGTACCTTAATAACCAATATTCATAGTTCATATGATACAAGACCACAAAGCATCAATTAAAGGTATTTAACTAAAAAATGAAAAAATCAGAATTTTCATTATTTTGTTGTTGGGAGTCTTTTCTCTGAAAGCAGTATGCATTTTTTAAGCCATATTTTGCTATGTATAATGCATACTTAATGCCCAAATTTTTTACAATGCCCATATTTTTGAGAGAAAAATAAGGATGTGCACTTATATGTAAGTAGTGCTAAGGATGCACACTATAATGGGTAGCATTAAGACTGTGGTATGCATTACACACGGCAAAATACAGTAACTCTTTAATAAGAAAAGTAACCATTATTTTCATAAATTTTATTTCATAATCTCCTTACTTGGAGGGATCAGATATAACATCCTCATTAGTTTCTGGAATAACAGGAATATTTTCATCTGCATTATCATCGGTAACATCATAAATAATGATATCATCTGAAATCCGCTCTCTAGATTTTAAACCTTCAGTCCTACTATGTGGAACCTAAAAAATCAAGGAGAAAATATATCAAAAAATGAAATTATATTATCTACCAAACATTATTATGTAAAATATGCTAAATTGGAACCTACTGTTTACTAAATGTTGAGGATACAATAGCAAGCATTTAAACAGATATGTTCTCTGTCCTTCCGGACTTACACACTAATTATATAAGTAGTACCAATTCACAGAGGTTATATTCTCTGCATTCTATTTAACTTTTTTTTTTTATAATCTGTATGTCATGCCTCAGAATGTTTATATGGAAAGATCTTCAAATTTTAAAGTCCTTTTTTATACCCAAAGTAAAAAAGTCAGGATTTCACCAAAAATTTCAAGCATAACCAACCACATGGTTGCTGTGCTGATGAGAACTATTTCCTCTCAAGGTACTCTGTTTGACACATATTTTATTCATACTGATTGCATGGTTTCGAAAATAGGAAATAATGAACACTTCACCTATTCCAAAGTTAAATGTCAGCCTGGCATTTTAGTGATGACATATTTTTTTTAATTTAGCTGCATTCAGACCATAGGTACATTAACAAAAAAAACAAAACACACACACACACACACACACACAAGCATTCAATTTTTTAAAGCAAACTGAAGTCATTAATATAATGCAAAAATCTATTAATTTTAATGAGGTAATACAGAGGCAGATATGAAGTATTTAAAATATATAAATCCAGTTAAATTACTCTTCTTTCTCTTACATGAATTTTCAATCCTAAAAGTAAAGTATTAGGTATGCTTGATCAGAAACAGTGGTAGGAAAAGAAACCAGAGATAAGCTTAACTCTAATTTTCCTGAAAACAAAAAGCTTGATACTTCGATAATAAACCTGTAACAGTATTTAAAATTCTAAGGTTTGAAAGTAACAAGAATAATCAGATACTAAAAGAAGTCCTGACTCTGGACTGTATGAATTTGCCTCTGGACACAAGTTTAACGAATTATTCAGAGAGCTTGTGGAAAAAAATGAAAGTAAACAAAAATATTTTTTGAAATTACTATAGTTCAAGTCTAGTCTGTGTACATTTATAATAAAAGTTGTAAACAACATAAAATAACCAATGGATACATGCATAATTACATTATAATAATCGATTAGTATCATATAGGAGTTGAACTAATTCTGGTTTCATTAAATCTTAAAAGCAATACCAAGTAAAAAAAGCCACAAAGCAAAATAATATGTACAAAATGGTATCATTTATAAGTTCAGATATATGTAAAGTAATAATGAATATTGTTCATAGATTCACAACTGTAAATGACTTTGGAAATCATAAATACTAATTCAAAATAGTGATTATCTCTAGGTGAAACTGGAAAGGGGGAAAAAAGCAAACCTGGGAACAGACAACTGAGACTACTTACATTTATAATCGGTTATTTCTCAAAATAATCTAAAGCAAATAATGAAAAAAGTCATGAATTTAAAAAGCTGTAGGATGAGCACTTAGAATATTACTCAATAAACTTCCTGGAATACATGAAACGGTATGGTAATAAAATTTAGTTTGAGATAATATAAACTAGAATTTAACTAAATATTACTTTATGATGGTGATTATCAGCTGGTTCTTTGACTATGTGCTGAAACAGATTCTTCTTTTGGGCTCCATTAGTGTTTAGAAGTAGAGGCCTGAAATCAGAAGATATTCATGAAGTTCAGTGAAGCAAACACACAAACAATTCAAATGACTTCTAACAATTTACTCATACACAAACACAATCATTTTCATAATTAAAAAATTTTGGTAAGGATACAAAAGAAATGCTTAAAAATTATTAAATCTCAAGAATAGAAACTGGAGGATGAATATGTCTAAAACTTTTATTTCTCCATTTGTCTGTACTACTTTTGTTATAATGTAATGAACTGGTCTCCCCAAATAAACTTCACTGCTGACTGAACTATAAAACTCTTTAAAAATGTGTTTTCATGGTAAAAAATAAATAGGTAATACCATAAGACAGACAGTAATTACTGGAAGCAGAATTAAGGCCACAGCATAAGCTATGAGCATAACCAAGTTCTGCTAAAATCTTAGCCTTACAAGATTATTTTTTTCTCCTCCCAGATACTCCTTTGTCTACTATTCTTATGTATTAGTTGTGACAGTGGTAGTTAGTAACGTTTATAGGAATACAAACCTTGGTTGTATTCCAAGGTCAACAAACTAAAATTGACATACAGGCTTTTAAAGACCTTCAGGAGTAGATTAAACATAAGAGAGATCAAGTAAAAAAAAAATTTTTTTTAAGACATGGCCTTTTTTTAAGAGTTTCCCTCAGGTTTCCTAATGCTACATTGAATTGCTGATGTGAATGAAATACAGTTCTCTATTTAACTGTACATGTCTGTAAAGTGACCATTTAGGCTATCCTTATCTCTCAAAAATATCAGCAGTCTGACAGCACTAGGAAAAAATAACACACTCTTGAAATGCTGTAATTATCAAGGGATGAATGTTCATCCATTGTAGGCCATTCATAGTTACACATTAAAATTTCTGGTTGTCCAAGTATAAATCAAAACGTTTTAACATAAAAACTTACCTTTTACGTTTTAAACTCACAAGCTGGTTATTCTGAACCAATGTAACAATAAACTGGACAATCTAAAAGAAAAATACAAATAACTTTTTTCCATTATAGACTCCTAGTTCTTTAGTCTACATTAAAAACTTTAAAAAACTCAAATATTGTACATGTCCTCTATTCTAAGTCATATAATTTCTCAAATATTAATATATTTGAAATTTGGATACATCTTAAAATTGGCATCTAAAGAAACATACCAGCCTCCAGGCAGAATAACCTGTGATAAAAGTTGCTACTACCTAGAACAAAGAGATGCCTAAAAATTCCTTCCTCCCTTCCTCCCTCCCTCCTTTCCTTCCTTCCATTCATCCATCCACACACCCATCCAATATTCAATTATTTGTTCTGGTGGTAAGTATTAAGTATGCCTGAATACAGACCCCCAATTTTACAATTCTTTCAATAACATGATAATGCAAAATTAAAAAAAAAACACAAAACAAAAACATGGTGTTTCATAGGCAACATTTTTCTTATACCAAGTATTATTATAGTGGTAAAAAAAATTGCACTCTCTCTCAAAATAAAAGATCATAAAATTTTCAAGTTAGAAAGTTTATTGACTATAGAAAAATTATTGTCAAAGCACTAACCATCTGTCAAAGCTTCCTGCTGACAACCAAAAGAAGCTGGTTTAATCTTCCAAGTCTGATTAAATTTAGAGGAAAATTATTAAACAGATTAAGACATGCCACATTCCTCCATATTTTATGATAGTATTTCTTAAAGTGTGGCCCACGGAGCAGCAGCACTGGCCTAAAAACTTGTTAGACATGCAGGGTCTCAGCCCCACTCCAGAACTGCTGAATCTGAAATTCTAAGGGTGGAGCCCAGTAATGTTGTGTTTATTAGCAAGCTGTCCAGGTGGTACTAATGTGAATACGAGAGACATATACGGTATGGTACACCTTGAGATTATATTGTTAACTTCCTAAAGGAACCAAAAGCGAGGCTATCACATGATGAATTATGAAAAATAGTATACCACTGAGAGGCTATGATTAGGGGACAATGTAGACTGCAGAAAATTTCCTTGTAAACTTTGGGAAATGTAATTACATAATTAAAATAAAGAATTGTCAATTAAAAATATAAATTGTATACCCTTAATATTGTGTGTTCTCAATAGTAGCCCCCAAAGAGGCTACTAAATAGTTTGCCTTACAATCAATATGAACTTTTCCATGGAAAAAATGTAAACATTTTATTTTTTATTATTTTTTAATTTATTGAAATAACTGGGGTGACACTGATTAAAAAATTATATAGGTTTCAGTAATACAATTAGAGAATACATCATCTACATATTGTACTGCATGTTCACCACCCCAAGTCAAATCTCCTTCCATCATCATTTATCCTTTCTTTGCCCTCTCCTACCTACCCCTACCCCCCTTTCCTTCTGGTAACCACCATATGGTTGTCTGTCTACGAGGTTTTTTCCCTTTATTTTCTTTTTTTCTTAATCCCTTCAAAATACTAATATTTTAACTAAATAGTCAGACAACATTACAGTGTACGAAAAGGTTAGCCACTACCTTACTTATTCAAAAAAAATGCTAAGAGTTGACAAAAAAACATTTACACTTAAAGATATCTTTAAAGTAATTCAACTTTAATTGGTTTTAATTTATTAAAAGATATCAGAAAATTCTAAAAGCATTAGTAATTATATTTATAAGGACATGAATTATTGGCTACATTTCTCCTGACATGTTCAAAAGCTCACTTCTCTTTTTATACTTCTGCTTCACACCATACAGAATTTACAACCTGGAGATGAGGAATCTCACATGTACCACATTCAACTTCTGTATCTGGTAAGTCTTGTAACAGAAACCTCACATAATTATTTTATTTTATTTTATTTATTTATTTTTAGAAAGGGAAGGGGGGGAGGGGGTGAGAGACAGACAGACAGACAGACAGACAGACAGACACATCAATGTGCGGTTGCTGGGGGTCATGGCCTGCAACCCAAGCATGTACCCTGACTGGGAATCGAACCTGTGACACTTTGGTTCGCAGCCCACACTCAATCTACTGAGCTACACCAGCCAGGCCTTTTTTTTTTTTTTTAAGATTTTATTTATTTATTTCTAGAGTAATCATTCCTAATTAATTCAAGGCCAAAGAATAAATGGCAAGAATTAAAAATCAATTCCATGAATAGAGAAAAAATTACTGGCTGTCATCATACATTATATAAACTCCCTAAACCTTACCAAAACATACAGATGCAAACTCAAATATAAGCAGACAGAATGTTAGCTTTCATGAAAACCTGAAATGTTATGTAAGTATTTTACAAAATATTCTTGCCATTAGGGAAAAAAACAACAAATTATGGAGTGTTGTAAGTTAGTATTTAACCAAAATACCATTTTCTGGAAAAGAAACAAATTTTTAAAGTGTAGGTTAAGGTACATTATCATTTTAAATCATATATTCTTAACAGAACTGCATGTTGAAATTAGCTATGGTAGTTTTGAAAATATATATACTTGGACTTAGAATTAATTCTCCAATCAAGCTTTACTTGTATACTATTTTTTTTTTAAATATAGGCTATCTATTTTGACTACAGGCCAAAGGCTGCAACTACCATTCATCTCTGTTCCAAGCTGTTCCCCTAGATTCAAATCCTGTCAGTCATAACCCTATTTTTAGCATGAACAAGCTGAAGCTCTCCCCCGCTCCCCCCTAAAAAAAAACTTTTGCTTAAACTTAAGAGTCCAGTTTTCTAATGAGCAAAAAATAGCTACCTTAATTACTTTTATGTTTCCTATCTTATTAACATATGAAAGCTGATATGAACAGATCAAATCACCAGGATACAATGCACCAGAGAGATTCTCAGTTCCCCAGTAATTTTCAGCTTGGATACTAAAATCTAAGATTTATTTTACAGCATCTGTATTAATGCTTTTCTGTACAGATTAACAATAACATACAAGACAGTTGATTTTTTTAAACTCATAATTTTGTCGACTGATTTGAAAATACTAGTCATTTATCTTCTGAACCTGTATGTATGCCTTTCAGAGTAAAAAACAGTAAAAACAACAAAGCAAATAAAAAAAACCCCCACACAGTAAAGTTTTGTTTTTATAGGAAAAATTGTGTAAGAAATTGGGAGTATATTAATTATGCTTCTATGAATAAAGTATCTTATAAGTGTTCTATCAGGCAAAGGTCCTTAAAGATTTATTAACTGGGAGTACAGAATGACCACATTTAGCTAGTGAAAAGATTTTTATTAAAAAGAACATACAACACTTGTTCTAATTTGTTTGATTTCATAGTTTTACTTCTATCTGTACATCCAAAATACAAGAAACTAAAACCAATCAGTCTATGCAACGGAGACTTTGGGTCACAAATGGTACTCAAACAAGCACAATTATGGTCATGGGAAAAAAGCTTACCTTTCGAATAACTTGTTGCTGTTGTGCATGTTTTGCTCGTAACTCTGACACCTCCTTCCAAAGGGACTCATTCTCACTATATCATTTATCAAAAAAAGAAAACAAAAAATAATTCTGTCAGAAATCCAGGCTTCAGTATCTTTAAGTAAACCAGAGAATACCACAGATATAAAGAACAAGCCAATGGTTGCCAAAGGGGAGGGCATGGGAATAAAACATTTTTTAATTAAAAATAAAGATTTTATAAAAATACCAGAGAATTTAACTAGCTTTTATTATATATTTTTATAAGACTAGAAAATCTTTGGTTCAATTATATAAATGGCAACTATTCTGATGCAAATCCAGAATCATTCCTTCATAACTCTAGTAGCTTCTACTCATGGCAATATATACACAAAAACTTAAAACTCATGCCTACATCCATATAATAGGAGGCAATTTATTCCTCTGACAATCAGGTTCATTATTTTTTATTTAAGCTAACCTTAAAACTATGGCTACCATGTGAATTCCAGTACTTGTGCTTAGGAAACAATTCTTAAAGAAAAGTGACATTTACCTAGCACTTGCTACACTCCAAGTACTATGCTAAGCATTTTATATATACTAGTAATTTAAACTTCTCTTAAATCCATCAAGAAGGAAATTACTCTCTACTTTATACATGAGGACTCTGAGACTCAGAGTACTGAGAAGATTTACCCAAGATCACACAAATAATTAGTTAAATATTAAAGCAGAAATAAAATCTGCTCAACTCCAAACTGTCTATCTTAAGATCTGTCTCAAATACAAGCATATAAAAACACTAAAGAATATGTTTTTAAAAGCATTTCCATATATGACAAACCAAAAAATAGAGGGTACTGAAAATGAGACTTTAATACATACTGAAAAAAATACTGTACTTTTTCTGGCTCAGAAATTCAAAGATACTGTCATCTGCTCACTAAAGGTAAGGAGAATGGCTATCCCTAAGATTTCAAGTATAAATTTGGAATCCCATTCCTTAAAGACTCAACCTGAGATTCAAGGAACTGGGTCAAAGGACATCTCAGCAGACACAAGGCACATACAATTTACCAGTGTAAGATATTAAATAAAATATGCAAAATGGGGAAACTTAAAATTAAGGCCTATTTAAAAAGGGTATCCAGTCCAATATTACTCTTTTAATAAAAATACTGAAGTATAGTTAAACTAATGTCCCATATTTGAAATGGGATAGAAAATACACAAAATAACTACTCTTAAGACCTGGGCATCTATTAGGATGAGCAAAATCTCAACTACTTACTAAAAAAACATGTATACATCTACTCTACACACAAGCTATTACTATGGTAAATTAGGATAATGGTGCTAAGAACTGTAGTTACAAATCAAAGCGTCTTTCTGCAGATGAAAGGTTTGAATAATACTTTGTCCAATGTATATACAATAAATATTAAGTAGAGCAAGTCTCTTGTGTTCTTTTTTTCCCTATTTTTTATGCCCTACTTTTCCCTAAGAAATAGGTCACAGAGAAAAGTAAAAAAAAAAAATCTTAAAAAAACAGGTAATGTGCAATAAGTACTTTTATGCCTTTGTGTGCATTCACATGTCTGATCATCTAAAAGCTAATCTATGTACACTTAGATTTCCTACACCAATTTAAAGATCTACTGTTTCCCATTTGTTTATTTTTCCTTTTGTTTCCCTTGCCTGGGGAAATATATTCAACAGAATATTGCTGCAAGGAATGTCCAAAATTTTCCTGCCTATTCTTTCTTCTACAATTTTTATGGTTTCAAGTCTAACATTTAAGTCTTTGATCCAGTTTGAATTTACTCCTGTGTGGTGTAAGAAAATGGTCTAGTTTCATTTCTCTGCACATATCTGTCCTATTTTCCCAATGCTGTTTATTGAATAATCTATCTTTAGCCCATTCTATGTGCTTGCTTCCTGTTTTGAGTATTAATTGATTATAAAGGTGTGGGTTTATTTCTGGGCTCTCTACTCTGCTCCACTGATTTATGTGTCTGGTTTTATGCCAGTATCATGCTGTTTTGATTACTATGGCCTTACAGTATATAGTTTGACATTAGGCAGCAAGATTTCTCCAACTTTGTTGTTCTTTAACAGGAATGCTGCTGCTATGTGGGGCCTTTTGTGGGTTCACATAAATTTTTGAAATATTCTAGTTCTGTGAAATACATCATTGGAATCTTTTTTTTAAAGTATTTATTTATTTATTTTTTTAGAGAGGGAAGAGAGGGAGAAAGAGAGAGAGAGAGAGAAACATCAATGTGCAGTTGCTGGGGGCCATGGCCTGCAACCCAGGCATGTGCCCTGGCTGGGAATCGAACCTGCAATGCCTGGTTCGCAGCCCACACTCAATCCACTGAGCTACGCCAGCCAGGGCACATCACTGGAATCTTGATAGGAATTGTAATGAATCTATAGATTGCTCTTGGGAGTACAGACATTGTAATGACGTTAATTCTTCCTATCCATGAACAACATAGTATGTGCTTCCACTTATTTCTATTTTATAATTTGTATCAGTGTCTTATAATTTTCTGAGTACAGGTCTTTTACATCCTTGGTTGGGTTTATTCGTAGGTATCAAACTGAAATGTTTTTGCACAGAAAAGAAATCATCAACAAAATAAAAAGACAACCCACAGAATGAGACACCATATTCGCCAATACATCTAATAAGGTGTTAATACCCAAAATTTATAAAGAACTTACAAAACTCAGCATCAAAAAAAGCAAAAAACTCAATTAAAAAGTGGGCAAAAGGCCTGAATAGATACTTCTCCAAAAAGGGCATCAAGATAGCCAATAAACATATGAAAAGATGCTCAATGTCACTAATCATCAGAGAAATGAATATTAACATCACAATGAGATACCATCTCACATTTGTCAGAATGGTTATCATCAATAAATCAACAAACAAGTGCTGGTGAAGATGTGGAGAAAGGGAAACACTTTTGTATTGTTGGTGGGAATGCAGACTGGTGCAGCCAATGCGTGAAGCAGTATTGAGATACCTCAAAAAATTAAAAATGGATCTGCCTTTTGGCCCAGCGATCCCACTTCTGGTGATATATCTGAAGGAAACCACAAAACCAATTTGAAAGAATGTAAGCATACTTATGTTCATTGCAGTGTTATTTACAATTGTGAAGATACGGAAATAGCCCAAGTGTCTATCAGTAAATGAGTGGATAAAACTATGGGACATTTACACAATGGAATACTACTCAGCTATAAAAAAAGAAGAAAAACTGACCCTTTGCCAACAGTATGGATGGACCTGGAGAATATTATGCTAAATGAAATAAGCCAGAGAGAGAAAGACAAATACCGTACGATTTCACTCCTACATAGGATCTAATGAACAAACTAGGAAAATGAGGACAGACTCATACATGGAAAACAGGATGGCAGTTGGGGGTAGGAGGTGAGGGGATGGAGAGAAGCAAAAAGGAAAAATGATTTATGGACAACACTGTAGTGATTACTGGATAAAGGGAATATAAGAGGATAAAAAATGGGAAAAAATACAATAAATATTAAATAAAAAAAAACAACACTGAAAAAGACCTACTGTTTCATGAGAAAGGCTTTTGCATCATATAGTTTTGCATGCCCAGGTTTTTATATTCTTTCAACCACCATCATGAAAATACAGTATTGGGGTAAAGTCTATGGTTACAAATCAAAAATAATGGTAACTAATACTTAGTGAAAAATGATCTTTGATCTTGGTTTCAACAACATGACCTGAAAGTAAAGCACCAACCTCCAACACACTACACCCAACACATAAACACCAACACATATATTAGAATTATATTTGAAAATAATACTTTACCTTTTTAATTCAGAAAGCCTGGACTCAATAGTTTCTTGTTTTATTTGAACCTTCTGAGCACTACTTATAATTTTTGTTAAATCTTCCTGACGAATTTTATTTTCTTCTGGTTTTGAAGATGAAACCTTTTAAAGAGAAAATTTAGGACATCAAACAAATACTAAATGCCATGGTTGTAATTCAAAGCTTCCCTATTATAAGATGTTTTTGTAGTCTGTTCAGGAAGTGAGATCAAGTTCCAAAAAACCCAGGATAGGATTCTAGGAAGAGAATAAACTTTATGGCTCAAAGAGAGAGGATAAGAGATAGTCTTTTTTTTTTTTTATGTGGGAAATTTCCACAAGCAGAAACACCTTAGGGCTTTTTTAATTTTTCATTTCCTTCTGTCAAATTCCCTGTAATTTTCCCATGCCTCTTTATTATCACATTCCATGTTTAATTAAATTCATACAGTAACAGCTTCATGCTATGCCATTTTCTTCCATGGTCCACACTACCCTTTTACCTCACACCTTCCTTTTGTAGATTTGGTAAAAATATCTTATTTCAGCAAAAGAAAAATAAATCATTCAAAAATGTATTGTTAAATGTCTACTATTTGCAAGGGACTTATCCTGGGCTTTCAATATTTGTCAGTAAACTACATAATAAGCCCTCCAGTGAACTTACATTCTAGCAGGAGCTTACATTTTTTAAGCTAAAAAAAGGGTTAGCTATCCCAATGTGAATGGCTCCTCAACCTCAGTCAGAATGTAAACATTTTCCTTTCCTTTAAAAGTGTTTGAGCCCTTAATATAGTTCTGCACCAAGAAAGAAAAATAGAAGGAAATAATTAAAATTTTATTTGTGTAGATTCTGCATCAGCCTGCAAACCAAAGTGTTCGATTCCCAGTCAGGGCACATGCCTGGATTGCAGGCCAGGTCCCCAACAAGGGACACATGAGAGGCAACCACACATTGATGTTTCTCTCCCTCTCTTTCTTCTTCCCTTCCCTTCTCTAAAATAAATAAATAAAATTTTTTAAAAAATGTATTTGTCTAAATCATCCCAACAAAGAACACTAGTGTATTTTTATACATTCTTAATTTCAATAGCTGAAATATGTCTTGGCCAAGTATACTACATGGCAATGCCCTAATTGAATCATGTTAACAATAGCTTACCTTCCTTTTAATGTTCTCCAACAAGTCATCCTGGCCTTGTTTGAAGTAAGGATGCTGAAATTCAACAGGACCATCTCGTTCCTGTTTTACAATTCCAGAGTCAATATGCACTACTTTACGGAAACCATCTGAAAAAGATTCAAAATTCAGATAACTAAAACAGAGGAAAGTCAAAAATTAATTATGCTTCCATGTAATATATTTTCCTCTTTATCATTCTAATGGGGGAAAAAACTGTTTAATCAGTGGCCAATGATACTAGTCCAAATAAACTGCAGTCCATACTCACACATGTTCAGTTGCCTCACAAAGCTTGCCATGTTATTGTGCTTGAAGTATTTGGGAAGAATTTCCTTTGCAAATCTTTGTTCATCCAAAACTAGAAAACTTTGGCCATTCTGAAAAAAATGAAAAAGTCAATTAGTTAAAGTCCTCTGACACTACATGATACATATAAATCCCAAAACTGGGCAATCCTTTTATAGTAACTTCAGACCAACCGTTTATTTCTGTTAATGTCAACAAGAAACAAGTTCCAAATACGTGCCAAAATGCAATTAAGCATCTTGATGTCAAGTTCAAAAGCTCAGCAGTGTCCCAACCAAAATCTTTATCATACTCTATGGTAAAATAGTAGAAAAATTTCCCGACCTCCAGCCAAGATGGAGGCATAGGTAGATACACTCTGCCTCCTCGCACAACCAAAAGGAGGACAACAACAAAATTAAAAACAAAAAATAACCAGAACTGCCAGAAAATCGAACTGTGTGGCAGTCCGACAACCAAGGAGTCAAAGAAGAAACATTCATTCAGACTGGTAAGAGGGGCAGAAATGGGGAGCCGGGATGGAGAGGACGTGCAGTAAGGCGATGGCTGGCAGACCCAGCAGTCCCACACTGCATGAGGATAAATGGGGAGGAACACTAGGAAGCAAGACAGACTGCGTAACTCAGGGTCACAGCATGGGGAAATAAAGCCTCAAAACCTCTGGCTGAAAAAACCTGTGGGGAAATTGCATGGCAGGAGAAACTCCCAACAGTAAAGGGAAGGAAACCGAGACTCAAATGAACAATCTGGACCAGAAGGAAGAAATAAACATTCACCCAGAACAGAATGAAGAAACAAAAACTCAAAAAAATGAGGAGAGGCTTAGAAACCTCTGGGACTCCTTTAAACATTCCAACATCCAAACCATAGGAATGCCAGAAGGAGAAGAGGAAAAGCAAGAAACTGAAAACTTATTTGAAAACATAATGAAGGAGAACTTCTCTAATTTGGCAAAGGAAATAGACTTCCAGGAAGTCCAGGAAGCTCAGAGAATCCCAAAGAAGGTGGACCCAAGAAAGCACACACCAAGGCACATCATAATTACATTACCCAATTAAAGACAAGGACAGGCTCTTAAAAGCAGCAAGAGACAAGGAGACACTTGCCTACAAAGGAGTTCCCACAAGACTATCAGCTGATTTCTCAAAAGAGACTTTACAGGCAAGAAGGGGCTGGAAAGCAGTATTCAAAGTCATGAAAGGCAAGGATCTATATCCAAAATTACTCTATCCAGCAAAGCTACCATTTAGAATGGAAGGGCAGATAAAGTGCTTCCCAGATAAAGTCAAGTTAAAGGAGTTCATTATCATCAAGCTCTTACACGAAATGTTAAAGGGACTTATCTAAGAAAAAGATAAAAAACTCTGAACAGTAAAATGACAACAAACTCACAACTGTCAACAACTAAACCTAAAAATCAAAAACAAAAACTAAATGAACAACTACAGAACAGGAACAGAATCACAGAAATAGAGCTCACATGGAGTGTTATCAGCAGGGAGGTGGCGGAAGGAGAATGGGGGAAAAGGTACAGGGAATAAGAAGCGTAAATGGTATGTAGAAAATAGACAGGGGGAGGTTAAGAATAGCATAAAAAAATAGAGAAGCCAAAGAACTTATATGTATGACCCATGGACATGAACTAAGAGAGGGGAAATGCTAGTGGGAGGGGGTGCAGGGCAGAGGGTAATAAAGGGGAGGAAAAAAATGGGACAACTGTAACAGCATAATCAATAAAATATATTTTAAAAAGGAAATTTCCATTAAATCAGAAACAAGAAAAACAAGTACAATATGTGGCCAGCACAATTATTTAACATTGTTTTTAAGTGAATATTAGACAAAAATAAAATTTGAGAGGCTGAAGTAGAATCTTTTTTTGCCATAAAAATAATTTTATCTGTACAATCATTTGAAAAACTGTAAGAGAATTTAAGTAAGATTCATGTTACTAATATTTAAAATCACTAGTATCCTGTCATATAAAAAATAAACAACTTGAATCTTACTAGAAAAATATAGTAATCAAAACATCAAGGTACTTACATAAAGACAGACAAAACAACTCATACAATAGAAAACTCAGAAATATTAAATTCTCATATACACAGTGTCAGGATTTTTTATAAGGGTGCCAAACCCATTTAATGAGAAAGGACAGTCTTTTCAAGAAATGAGGTTGACAAAACCGGGTACTAACATGCAAAAGAATGAAGTTTGAACCTTTACGTTACATCATATACAAAAATTAACTCAAAATAGATGAAAGGCCTAAACTTATAAACATTTCAAAAGAAATCATAAGGAGAAGCTTCATGACATTGGATTTGGCAATGATTTCTTGGATAACACCAAAAGCACAGGCAATAAAAGCAAAAAGAAACAAATGGGACTACCTCAGACTTACAAACTTTTCTGTAAAGAACACTATCAACCAAAGGCAGCCCATGGAATAGAAGATAATATTTGAAACTCATATCTTACAAGTGGTTAATATCAATATATATAAAGAAAGTGGCCATCAGGTGAAGTGACTTCAGCGAGAGGGATCTAGATTGCTGGCTGGCAAGGGGAATCCAACTGCCCTCGCCACTGGTCTTGTCCCGGCACACCTGGGATGCCATCTCTCAACCCGTGATGGAAGGCGGAGGCGACCACCTCGGAGCTTCTGGTAGGCACATTGCGACCCTGGCAGTGGAACAGGGTGTTGGAAAATCTTAAGCTGAGGGCAGAGGCAGAGTCTGGGGACTGGCCATATGTCAGAGATTTGAAAGATTTCCCCCAAGTCTGTCGCATGCAGGCCCAAGCTTCCCAGGGAGACACAGTTGTTCTTGGGCTCCCAGGAGGACTTACAAAAATTTGTGTGGCTGAGAACTGTACAACCTAAAAGAGGTGAGTAGTCAGGAAAACAGATCAATCTTTTTTATCTTTTACTTGTTCTTTTTTTAAATATTGAATTTATTTGGGTCACATTGATTAGTAAAACCATACAGATTTTAAAGTAAAAGAAAAAAAAAGAACCTCTACAACTCAACATCAACAATGGCAAAAACAAACAACCTGATTAGAAATGGGTAAAGGATTTGAGTAGACATTTTTCCAAAAAAGATATACAATGAATAATAAACACATGAAAAGATGCCTAACATCACTAATCATTAAGGAAATGAAAATGGAAGCCACCATATTACCACTTTATAGCGATTAGGATGGCCATTATTAAAACATACACATGGAGGGGGAAAAAAAAACAGAAAATAAGTATTGGTGAGGAGGTAGGAAAATTAGAACCCTTGTTGCATCATTGCTGGTGGCAATGTAAAATAGTGCAGCCACTGTAAAAAAGAGTTTGGTGGTTCCTCATAAAATTAAACACAGAATTGCCATATAATTCTACTTCTACGTGTATACCCAAAGGAATTGTGAGCAGGGACCTGAAAGGATATTTGTACACCCACGTTCATAGTAGCATTATTCACGGTAGGCAAAAGGTGGAAGCAACCCAAATGCCCACTGACAGATGAATAGATAAAGAAAATACGGTATATACATATGAAGGAATAGTATTTAGCCCTGAAGAGGAAAGAAACCGAGACATGCTACATACAACATGGATGAACCTTGAAGATAGTACGCTAAGTGAAATAAGCTAGTCACAAAAGAGCAGATACTGTATGATTCTACTTGCATGAGGTATTTAGAACAGTCAATTCATAGAGACAGTACAATGGGCTAGGAGGAAGGAGGGAACTGGAAGTTCTATCTGACAACTATGAAGTTTCAGTCTGAGAAGATGAAAACATTCTGGAAATGGGTGATAGTGATGATTTTATAACAAATGTGAATATACTTAATGGCACTGAACCATATACTTAAAAATGATTAAAATGGTTAATCTTATATGTATTTTATCACAACAAAATTAAAACTAAAATGGAATAAAAGATTCCAGTAATAGAAAAGTGTCAAGTATCTAAAAATAAATTTTAAAAATATACAAGACCTTTCAGAAAATATTAAATTACAGAGAGACAAATATACTGTGGTAAAACTGTTAATTCTCCCGAAATTAATCAATACATTAAATTCTCTCTCAATTAAGAAAAAAAAAAGATTTTTGGTAGCAGGATTAAGAGCTGCTAACACAAGGATATATTAAGTACTGAAGTTCACTGGTGAAAGTAATTATGTAGCAATACTCAAGAAAATATAAAAACGAGGTGAGAGAGAAGTTAACCCTATACCATACAGATAGTAGAATAACAGTGTTTACAAAAGTTTGGTACTAAAGAAAGGATAGACTAGAGTACAAAGAAGTAAATACGTGGATTTAATAAAGAATAAAAGTAGCATTCAAATCAGGAGGGTAAATCGAGAGGGAAAAGGATTAGTTAAAAACTCTTCATTTGGAAAGAAAAAAGAAAAGCTCACTGCTGCCTCACTCTTCATTATCAAACATTTGGAAGCATGATATACATAATAAACCCAGAAGACATATAGCTAGAAAGTAATAAATTTATTCATGGAGACTGTAACCTGCCTACCCTATCTCTACTTTATTTTTTAAAACTAAAATTGTATATATTTAAGTTGTACAACACAATGACTTCATATATATACACACACAGTGAAATAACTGTTAGTCAAGCTAATATATTATCTCCACCTGCATAAAAGAATCAACAAAATAACATAACAGAATGAAAGAAACTAATTGCAATAATATATCTGATAAGAGATTAAGATCCGAAATATATGAGCATACAACTCAACAGAAAAAAAAAACAAAAAACAAAACCCAAAACCCACAATTAACAAATAGGCAAAGTACTTGAATAGACCTTTTTCCTCAAAAGTCATACAAACAGCTAACAGGTATATGAAAACGTGCTCAACATTACTAAACACCAGGTACACGAAAATCAAAATTGAAATGAGGTATCACCTCATACCTATCAGGATGTCTACTATCAAAAAATAAAAGAATATGCCAGCAAGAATGTGGAAGAAAGGGAACCCTTGTATACTGTTGGTGGGGAAGTACATTGGTACAGCCATTACAGAAAACAGT